GGTGTTTCAGGTATTTCACTCGTGTTCTCACACTTGCCAATCTGCAATTCATTCCAATTCTCCCCCTGGATTGGAGATTGTGAGTAGAAGGATTCTGTTTCGTGAAAGGTGACATCACAGGTAGTAAAGATACGTTTCGTGGTAGGATCAAAGCACTTGTACCCTTTTTTAGTGGCAGAGTAACCAAGAAAAACACATCGGACAGCTTTGGGGTCAAGTTTGTTTGTGCGATGGAGATGAACATAGGTAGTACATTCAAATACTCGTAAGGGTAAAGTATTTTTCAAGTAGGGTAGATTGTAAGTTTGGTGTAGAACTTCAATGGGAGTTTTATATGACAAGGTGCGGTTGGGAAGGCGATTAATAAGGAAAGTTGCAGTTAGGATAGCATCATCCTAGTGATATTTAGGAACATGGCTACTAAAGAGAAGTGCACGGGCTGTTTCAAGGATGTGTCTATTTTTCCTTTCAGCAATTCCATTCTGCTAAGGGTTGTAAGGATAGGTATTTTTATGAACAATTCCATTGGAAAGTAAAAAAGTAGAGAGATGTTTGTTGAAATATTCTGTGCCATTATCAGTGTGATGCGTTTGAATAGACATGTGAAATTGATTTTTGACCATATGATAGAAATCAATGAATACCTGAAAAACATCAGATTTGTCTTTTAGAAGGAACACCCAGGTAACGCGAGAATGGTCATCAATAAAATTGATGAACTACTTTGAGTGAGTCCTATTAAGGACCCGAGAGGGCCCCCATAGATCACTATGAATGATAGTAAAGGTTTGGATGCAACGTATGGCTGATTAGGAAAGAAAACACGATGATATTTTGCTTTTTCACAGGAATCACAATAGAGCTGAGAATAATCACTTTTATTGCAAATTGAAGGAAACATTTTTGACATATAATTGAAATTAGGATGACCAAGACGTTTGTGCCACAGCTCCAACTCACTAGTCTTAGGGAGAGACACTATATTGCATGACCTAACATTGCTGACTTTATTTCCATCCAGGTAGTAAAGACCATCAAATTCCTTAGCACTGCCAATCGCCATCCCCGTCAATAATCCTGAAAAAGACAATAAGTAGCAAAGAAATTAACATGACATTTCTCATTCCTTGCCAATTTACTTACTGAGAGTAAGCTACACTTTAAATTAGGCACATGAAGAACGTGATGTAAGGTTAGAATAGGTGAGAGTTGTATACTTCCTATACCAGAGATAACCGACTCCGATGCATTGGCAATCTTAACTGTAAAGTTCTTTTGGCAAGGTACATAGGTCGTAAATAATTTAATATTGTCAGTCATATGATCCGACGCGCCTGAGTCTACTATCCAGCAGTCTCCAGTGTAATAGTAGCCAAGGCTTTAGAAAAATTACCTCTTTGTACCACAGTAGCAACAGGCTGCTTACTATTAGTTTGTAGGGTCAATAGCATTTCAATAATCTTACTTAGTTGATTATTTTGAGGGCTGTGAATTATCATCTCCCATAGAGCTTTCAGCCACATATCCCCGGCTTTTTCCCTTTCTTGGCTTCCAGTCGGGTGGCTTACCATGGAGATCCCAGCATTTATCCTTTGTGTGGCCCACTTTCTTACAATGTTCACACGTGGGACAACCTTTAGTGCTTCTAGGATCATTAGATTTGGCAGCAAGAGCAGAGGATTCGAAATTACCAGTTTGAGGAATGGGTTCATCTTTCAACATTACCTTCCTTCATGAGTACTCCCTTCGGATCATTGCAAAAGCTTCATGGACAGAAGGCAAAGGTTCTAGACTCAGAATCCTGCCACGAATGTCATCCAAGTCTGAATTAAGTCCAACTAGCAGCTCATATAGTCGTTCTTTCTTAAGTCATTTTCGGAACCGAGCAGCATCCTTAGAACTGGTCCATTCCTCAGTAGTAATCAGATCAAGTTCTTGCCATAAAGTAGTTTTTTCAAGGTAATATTCACTTGGGTCACGATTACGTTACTTTACAAGCCATAGCTTGGATTTAATCTCAAACACTTGAGAAGCGTTCTCCCCATCCGAGTATACCTCCTTCACAGCGTCCCATATTTCTCGAGCTGTTGGGAGAAATAAAAAACTCTTCTTCATAGTTGGTGCCATCGAGTTAACCAGCCATGAGCATACGATGGAGTTTTCGGTCTACCAAAGCTTGGGAGCCTTGACATTCATTGCCTCTGGACATTGGGTTTCGCCGGAAACATACCCCCATTTGCCATGACCCTCTACCGCGAGTCGCACCGTCTAAGCCCATTCTTGGTAGTTGATGCCGGTGAGCTTGTTTGAGACGAGAGAGATGAGGCAGCCCTCTTGGCTAGTCACGAGGTGTGCGACTAGACGCGAGCTCGCACCGGACGAACCCTCCAAGCTAGTCGACTCTGTATTTCGGTGAGTCTCAGGCTGAAAGTTCGAGTCCATGTCTGTCTCTGATGATTCAGTTGCTCGTTCTTCTTCGTGCTCTGATACCATGAAGATTTACTAAGCAAAACTGAATTATTTTATTTAGTAGGTGTGTCGCATACATATATACAAAAACGCACCATGATGCCAGCCGAGATATAAGGCCAAGGAATAAGGGATAGAGAGAATAAAATAAATGATTTTCCTAATATATCTGATCCTATGATAACTACCAGATATTTACATTAAATATAATATATTTCCACAAAATACTTTCATGTCTAATGGCTTTACCATTTTTTTATTTTCTTAAGAGCTTCCTTAACCTTGTTAATTTGAATCCTTTGATAAAATATCAAATTTATTTTCCTTTTCGAGTTACTAAATCCTTCAAGTTACTAAACAAGTAACCTCTATCATTGAGATGCTTGTAAAAGTATGCCTCCTATTTGTCTTTAATATCACTATTTGTAACCAAAATTTTTCCTTCACCATCCTTTATACGCCTTACTTATTCTAAATTTTTTGATTTTCTTTTTCTACTTTTTGCAATCTTGTAAATTTTTCATTCTCTATTCTTTGTCTCAAGACCCTTGTAAAACTCTTCAATTGCTTTAGAACATGCTTCACTTATTGCTTTCTTGGTTTCCTTCGTAGCCATATGATACTTTTCCCAATATTCAACATTATTCATAAATGTATATGGCTTTAAAGCACTCTTTTTTATATTTGACTCTCTCCTTTACGTTTTGATTTCGCCACTAAGACTTCTTATCCCTTGGTCCAGAACCTTTTGATTTTCCTAAAATTTCTTTGGCAACCTTTCTCACTTTCTTAGCCATATCCTTCCATAAAATGCTAGCATTTACTTGAGACTTCAAAATTCCTTCATCCAAAAGATTCCTTTTAAAAATTTCTTGCTTTTCACCCTTTAATTGCCACCACCGAATCTTGGGGTCTAATACTTGTTAGCGCTTTTGATTTTTTCTCTTAATACGCACATTAAGGACAAGGATCTTATGTTGTGTTGTCAAGCCATCCCCAAAGATCACTTTGTAATTATTACAAAGTCTTCTATTCGTGTTTCTTACCAAAAAAAAAAAAGTCAATCTGTGATCTTGAAGCTCTACTTTTGTAATTGACAAGATGTTCATTTCTCTTCTTGAAACAAGTGTTGACAATCTTGAGAGTATACACCCAAAAAAAAAAATCAAGAATAGATTGCCCTTCATTATTAAGCTCCCTAAAATCAAAACCACCATGAGCCCTCACATAGTTACTTGCCTACATACTGACATGACCATTAAAGTCTCTTTTAATGAAGATTTTCTTACTTTGTGGTATGCTTTGAATAAACCCCTTCAAGTTTTTCCAAAACAATTCTCTAAGATAGGTTTGTGCTCCTACTTGAAGTGCATACGTACTAATAATATTGATAGTATCCTATCCAAAGATCATTCTTAAGGAAATAATTATGTCCTCAGTTCTTTTAACTTTTGTCACATTTTTCCTCCATTCCTTATCAACAATGATATCTATTGCATTTCGTGTGCTTACTTCCTCTATATACCAAAGTTTGAAACTTGCAATTTCCTTAGCTTTTTCATTAACTCATTTAGTTTTTTTGAAGGCACAAGATGTTAATTTTTCTATGAATCATAACTCCCATCACCTTTATAGTTTTGCAAGACGAGGTCCCAACATTCCAAGTACCAAATCTGATCTTGCTCACACAGACTAACTTCTTTAGCTGCACTCATCCAGAATAACGCAGAAACCCTTGCTCATTTAGCACTACATCTGGGTACCGATGCAATGACTCTAACTCATTTGTCATTGCACTCAAGTCATACAGTGTGTTACTTACGGGCAATGATCTAGCATTATCATAAAAACATTTATTGACCATATCCATGTGAGATTTGACAAAGTTTTATATTGGCTCTTGATGGCCTAACACAACCCTCTTTCTTTATCCGCACTTGGGGTTGACTATAAACATAGGATTGACAAAGTTTTGCATGATTGTGATATTTTTTATTCATGCGTCTATGAATTTATTCTTTCCATGCACAAACAAAAATGTCATATTTGAATAAATTGGTGGGCGCCATCACGATACTTTAATTCAATTAGGTTATGCTAAAAACTAGAAGATATGTACTTATGTTTTGCTTGGAATTGTTGTCTACATGGTTAAAACCCTTTGGAGCCTCATCATCCAATCCTCTCGCTGCTTTTTGGCAATGAACTTTGTGTTATTATGTCTTTCTTTAATGATTCTCAATTTTTTACATTAGAGTTTCATGGATTATATTTTCGGCAATGCATATTTACCTCATGGAGGTAGAATTGTTGTTTTGGTTTGGTTATGAACTTATGATGATACCTTTTCAGCTAATTAATAAATCCAACCATGTAGCCAATTATTGTGGCCTAAGCTTATATGTTCTCTCATAAGAACAAACACTAAGTCAAGATTTTGGAACTGCCTAAATCTTATGTTTAGATTGATTTTGCCATTTATTATATGCAGACTAATACAGGTTAAATATTTCTTTTGGTCATTGTTTTAGGTTCACTTGTGCTTGTCGAGAGGTGAAACATTTACAAATCTTTATGGACAACTTGATTTGACGGGGGTGGATTTCCAATTATTGGATGCTCCATCATGGTTTTCTGTATGTCCTATTTTCATTGTGTTAGAATGCATTACTCTATCCGTTCCTTTTTTGACATCTGAATTTTCACTTAAAATTTACCTGATGATTTTATAAAAAGTTGGATTTAATATCCATTTGTCTTTCAGGTTCATGTCTATTATGTGTTGTATCTCTTTTGCAGAAGATTTCTGCAAGTTTACATTTTCGTGGTCAAAGAATATTTTTACACAATGCTAGTGGATGGTTTGGAAGCATTCCTCTAGAAGCATCAGGAGATTTTGGCATGCATCCTGAGGAAGGAGAAATTCATCTTATATGTCAGGTACTTTTTCTTGTGCACAGGTGCTTTGATAAAATATGATTTCTACTTTTTCTCACTGTTCATTGGTTTATCAGACATCTCTTGACACTTACTTGTACAAAGTTAAATGTTATGGTATAATATTTCGTTCATGATTCCAAAATCTCTGTAAACCTGTAATCTTAAAAGATTTAATTTTCAAATACTATTCAAATATAAGAAATCTATGTTCTTGTATAGCTCCAAAATTGAAGCTCTTTGAACTTTATTACTCGTTAAATTTGCTTTGTATATTTGTTTCAGTGTTATCTCTCCTTTAGGTTCATATTTCTTACCTTCATCAATTCATGATTGATAGCCTGAGTTGTTTTAATTTCTTCTATCTTTTAATGCTTTACATTTTAAAATGACCAGGTTCCTGTTGTTGAACTAAATGCCTTGATGAGAACTTTTAAGATGAGACCTCTCTTTTTCCCGGTAAGTTTCTGTTTATTTAGCTTATTAATTTTAAGATTATCAAGTTTTTGAGTAAATTAAATCAGTTTCATCTTCATTCTCTTCAATATCTGCTATATTTCAAGTTTATCTTCAATGTGTAAGCTAGACTCTTTTTATTCTCCTGTTTTTTATTTTGATAGTGCGGTTCCTTTTCTTGGTACTGGGCTATTCTTGATATCTAATAATTGAGTTGTTTTTTAATATAAAAACCAGCTCGAATGTTTCATTCTTGCTGTCTCTTTATGACTTGTTATATTTATAAGAGTGAAATTGTGCATTTAAGGCAAGGCAACACTCTAATATCAATTTCTACTTTTTCCCTCCCAAAAAACTGTTACATTTATCAATATAAGTTCCCACGTTTCCTTTTCTTATAAATGGTTTATTGATTTCAGCTGGCTGGTTCAGTAACTGCTGTTTTCAATTGTCAAGGCCCACTGTATGCTCCTGTATTTGTTGGTAGTGGAATGGTTTCCAGGACCTTCTCTCATATAAATGTTGAAACTCCTGCATCTGCAGCATCTGAAGCACTTGCTAACAGTAAAGAAGCTGGTGCATTTGCAGCTTTTGATCGTATTCCATTTTCACATGTATCTGCCAATTTTACTTTCAACACTGATAATTGTGTAAGTTGACAGGGATGAGTATGATGACCCTAAGAGTAGTGATTCCTTGGAGAATTGACATGTTATATTTTAATACTTGCTCTGTAAATAACAGGTTACTGATTTATATGGAATGAGGGCAAGCCTTCTAGATGGTGGTGAAATTCGTGGTGCAGGGAATGTTTGGATATGCCCTGAGGTAAACAGGCGGCTGGCGGAAAGCCTATCTATTTTTGCTTAGCCATGACCAACACCCCCCACTAACCCCACAAATTTTTTTTTCCCATTTGTTTCTTCATTTGCTTATGTGGAACAATTCAGGAGCATGATTATCCTCGTTTACTGTGGGATTGTTGTTATATATGCTCGCTTGAAGTTTTTTTTTTTGTAATTAGAATCTTGAAAATCTGTTATAATTTGTGATCCTTAACACGACTTAGTTGATGCTGTATGGCACAGGAAAGTAATATATGGACGCAGATAAAAATGTAGTGATTCTGACACTTCTGAGGATTTAGGGGCATCAGCCATTTGGCCATACAGAGTGTAAATTTCAATTCTCTTAATGTATATACTAATTTTCCTTTTAGGGTAGGGAGGATGAAGCCGCAATAGATGTGAATTTCTCTGGAAGCTTGGCATTTGATAAAATTATGCTTCGTTATATACCTAGCTATCATCATTTGATCCCACTCAAATTGGGCAATATAAATGGAGAAACAAAATTGTCAGGATCTCTTTTAAGACCGTAAGATTAATCCTTCTTCTCTTCTGTGTAATTAGTTTTTATTGATTACCATTCAGCAATATTGTTTGCTTTAATAACATCTGCTTTTGCCTTTTCACCTTTGTATCTTACACTTCAACTTGGGATATGTCAATTATTTTCTTAATTATTTTTAATGCAGAAAGTTCGATATAAAATGGACTGCACCTAAAGCAGAGGGGTCATTCAACAATGCCAGAGGGGATATCTTTATATCACATGATTCTGTAACTATTGATTCCTCTTCAGCTGCATTTGATTTGTTCATGAGAGTTCACACATCAGATGTTGATGATTTTTCTCTTGAGAGAAATGAATTTTATGCAGCTAGAACCATTCCATTTAATATTGATGGAGTTGACTTGGATTTGCGTATGCGTGATTTTGAAATAGTCAGCTTAGGGTCTACTCTGTCATTTGATGCTCCAAGGCCTTTGCACTTGAAAACAACTGGAAAGATTAAGTTTCAGGGAAGGGTTTCAAAACCTGGACAAATTTCCGTGAAGAAAGGGCGGCAAGTGCTAGTATTGGAGACAGGAAGTGAAGATAGTCTTGTTGGTGAGGTTTTAATATCTGGTTTCAAGCTTAATCAATTAATGCTGGCACCTCAGTTATCTGGGTTTTTGAGAATTTCTCCAACACATATCAAGGTAATGCGTCGAATCTTATTTTCTCAAGTAGTGTTTATCTTTTTTGGTCCAAAACAATAGCTGCCTATCTTGAGATATAATGTACATATATATAGATATTAAATATAATATACTTGATATTTTCACAATAAAGGTAACGTTGTAGGTGAGGTTTCTGAAAGGGAAGTTTGATTTTGAAGAGTTTAAAGAGAAAGTGTGAGAATATGGAAACTGCAAGATGATAATGGTATAAATTTTATCAATTATAATTAGGTAATACAATATGGAAAAGCCATACATTTGTATAACAATGAGGAAAATTAAAAGAGGTACCGTATGACTAAGAAGGAAACTAAGAGAGCTGTGAGTGAAGCTCGTTCTAAAACTTTTGAAGAATTTTATAAGAGCTTTGAGACGAAGGAAGGAGAACGAAACATTTATAAGATTGCTAAGAGTAGGGAAAGAAAATCAAGAGATCTAGAGCAGGTAAGGTGTATAAAGGATGAAGAGGGAAGAATTTTAGTTACAGATGATGAAATTAAAAATAGATCGGAGACTTACTTTTTCAAACTTTTCAATGATGGAGAGGGTTCATTTAATAACTTGGAGGATTTAGTAACCCGTGAAGGAGAACAAAATTTGTCATTCTATTGAATAATACATGATAAGGAGGTAAAGAAAGCTCTTAAGAAAATGACAAATAGTAGAGCCAACGGACCTAATTATATATCTATTGAAGTGTGAAAATGTTTAGGTGAAGAAGGGGTGAGATGGTTAACTAAGTTATTTAATGTGATTTTACAGTCTAAGAAAATGCCTGACAAGTGGAAGAGAAGTATATTAATTCCTATTTATAAAAATAAAAAGGATATTTAGAATTATACTAACTATAGAGGAATTAAACTCATGAGCCACACAATGAAATTGTGGGAGAAAGTAATTGAGTACAGGTTGAGATTGAAGACAAGTATTTCTGAGAATTAGTTTGGTTTTATGCCAGGTAGATCGACGACAGAGGCGATTTATCTACTAAGAGAATTAATGAAAAAGTGTCGTTGCAAAGATAAAAATTTACACATGGTTTTTATTAATTTGGAAAAAGCTTATGACTGTATACTAAGAGAAGTGCTTTGGAATGCCTTGGAAAAGAAGGGAGTATGAATTGCTTATATTAAAGTCACACAAGATATGTATGAAGGGGTAAAAACTAGTATAAGAACGTCTAGTGGTTAAACAAAGGACTTCCCTATAAAGATTGGACTATATCAGGGATCATCCTTAAGTCCTTATCTGTTTAACTTGATTCTAAATGTTTTGACGGAACATATTCAAGGGGAAATTCCCAAATGTATGCTCTTCGCGGATGATATCGTTCTTATAGCAGAGATAAGAGAAGAGGTTAATTGTAAACTTGAGTTATAGAGGAGGACATTGGAGTTGAAAGGTTTCCGTCTGAGTAGGAATAAAATGAAATATTTATATTGTAAATTTGGTAAGAGATTAGTCGACAATAATTTGAAAGTGAAATTGGGAGATCAAATCATACCTCAAGTGGAAAAGTTTAGATATTTGGGAGCCATTATTTAAAATGATGGCGAAATCAATGGGGATATTATTTGAAGAAAAGCTAAAGGAATTATTTGCGACCGTAAGGTGCCTGATAAACTTAAAGAAAAGTTTTATCGTATTGCTATCAGACCGGCTATATTATATAGTAGTAAATGCTGGGCTCTAATGGGACAGCAGGAGCATAAAGTTGGAGTAACAGAGATTAGAATGTTACGATGGATGTGCGGACATGCACGTAAAGATAAAATTTGAAATGAACACGTACATAAAAAAGTAAGGGTAGCACCTATTGAGGAAAAAATAGTAGAAAATTGTTTGAAATGGTTTGGGCATGAACAAAGAAGACTGCGGGAGGCACCAATGGGAAGAGTGGAACATATAACTTTGAGCCCTATTAAGAAAGGTAGAGGAAGGTCTAAGAGAACACTCTTGGAAGTTGTTGAACGCGATCTCTTAATTAATAATATTCCTAAAAGCTTGATAAATGATAGAGCACAATGACATCTTGTAATCCATGTAGCCGACCCCACTTAGTAGGATAAAGGCTTGTTGTTTTTGTTGTATAATTAGGTAATACAGTGCATACTTTTCAATTCTTTCATTCACGAAGAAGTTCTGTACATGAGCCATTCCTATTTATAGACATATTCTGATGTCAGAGGAACTACATTTTACTCCCCATGCAATGCACAGTGACATTAAAAATTTCTATACTTAAATGTTGAGCGAGTTTTCTCCCTTAAAGACAAGTGAAGAAATAATATTATCTTCAGCCAATCATACATTATAAGAAGGTCCAGCTTTTAAAAGGCATAAAAAGAAAAGGAAAGTATATTTACAGTGATTTCTGTAATTCTGCCCTCGTATATATTGATCAAACATTCGTTTCCTCTTTAACATCGGAAAATATAAACCTGCATGCAAAGTAAAAAAAATTGTAAGTAAGTGCATCAGAAATAGTTAAAAGATAACATTTTCAATGCATTAAATAAATAGCAGTGTCTATAATGCACCTTTTTTGAATTAATGGATTAAGTCAGCCAGTGGCTGCAACTTTGGAAGATTTCTCTACACACAAGTGATATTGCTTGATTTTTGTTTATTGTCACCACCTTGGATTAGAATCTTTAGATCTTCTATACTCCTAACTCTTGAGAGAGCAACATCAACCGACCATAGGTGAAGATATGCCTTGATGGAAATAATCCCACATTATGTATTGATTGGCTTTGACTTTTGTTTATGGTCATTGATTCATTGCAAAAGAAACAACGATTGGAAATTGTTTTCTTTGCATTCCATATAAAAGTATACTTTTTGAAAGGTTCATGTCGATTCTATGGATTAAGACTTTCTGATCTTGGTTTGATCCATTCAAGTTGATAACCTCAATGACAATTCTCCCAATTTGTGTGATCCATAATCAGGGAATTACCATTTCGTAATTACCTTTACATTGGTTAGTTGCTTTTCCTATTACCTTGGCAAGCCTCTTGTTGCCATATGACTTGGAGTCCTTCCTAACTAGTAACTATTGTTAATTTCTATCTCCTGCTTCCCCCATATAAATTGCCTTCCCCTTATTCAAGGAATCTTTGTCCTCAAGGATTGGTTCTGTGTACTGCATTGAAAAATCAGGGAATTTCTCTCGTATGCCTGGTACAACTTCCCACTTGGCACCCTTTTATGTTACTTGCCCATTTTCACTACTTTCCTTGCTAGAATCCCTTTGGTTCTAAAACTGACCCTGGCTGTCTACATAAGGAAAGGTTGAATTGACTGGAAAGTCGTCACTTCATGTTTCTTTAAGAAACAAACATGTAAGACTGTATGCCTCTTGAATTCACTGATACATCAAGCTTATATGCCTCTTTTCCCATCCTTTGAATCCCAAAGTATTGAGCATCTAGTTTATGAAGTGATGAGTTGTTAAAAAGGTTCCTTATTAAAGGGTGTAACTTGATATGCACCAATTCTCCACAGAAAACTTTTTCTTAGTTTTCTTATTAAATAATAGAACCATTCAATTGTGAGCCTGATGGAGGTGGTGTCAATTGTTATACTGTTGTTTCCCTCTTCTTCTTTCACTTCTAACTGTGTATGAATGAACCAACTGTATTGGTGACTGGCTTTACAAGATCAGATGACATGTTGATTTCTTTAATGCTCCTGATTAAAATTGTTTGATTGTTTATAATGTATAAATCTGTTTTAGCTTACAATTCTTCTTGGAAAACAGTTGGAGACTTCTGGTAGGCCTGATGAAAGTCTGGAAGTGGAGTTTGTTGGGCCATTGCAGGTCAGTCATGAAGATGGTCTACATATTGGAAAACTGTTGTCCATTTCCCTTCAAAAAGGGCAATTGAAGACTAACATTTGTTTTCAGCCACTTCAATTAGCTAACTTAGAGGTAGAGTATTTGGCGTCTAGTGCTTGGATCCAAATTCTTATTTCCTTGCATGAAAATTTTGGGTCACACTATCATGGAACAAGGTCTGGCATTCAGAATCTTTCCTCTTTCCCAATTTTTTTGGGCATACTTGTAGGTACGGCATTTTCCACTTGATGAGTTAGAGCTTGCTTCTCTCCGGGGAATCATACAAAAGGTATGTGGATTTTGGATGAGAATATTTCTCTTGTATTGATATTGAGATATAACCGTGTACATATATACAATATGAGAGAAGACAATAGAATAAATGTTAATAAAAGCATAATAAAGACTAATAATGTTCAATAATTATTCAATATTCCCACACTCCCTCTCAAGTTGGATCATAGATGTTAATCATGTTTAACTTGTTTATATAACTCTCAAAAGTAGGTTTAAGGAGTCCTTTTGTTAATACATCTGCAGCTTGAAGATTAGTAGGCAGATAAGTCAAACATATGATCCCTTCTACTTTTTCTATGATAAAATGCCTATCTACCTTCACATGTTTAGATCTTTCACGCTGAATAGGATTTAAGGCCATGTTTATAGCTGCCTTATTGTCATAATAGAGTTTTAAAGGCAAATCAACTCTAACTTGTATCTCATTCAAGACTCATTTCAACTACAACTCTTCCATTATTCCTTGAGCTAATGCCCTCAATTCAGATTCAGTATTACTCGTAGACACGGCTTTGTTTTTGACTTTGTCAAGTAACTAGATTCCCTATATAAAGGAGCTATAACTAGAGGTTGATCTTCGATTAAGATAGGTCCCTCCCTAATCTGCATCCATCTACACCTTTATGGTTCTTCATTCCTATTTCTTGAGGAATAATCCTCTACCAGGAGTATATTTCAACTACCTCAAAATTCTATAAGCTGTCTCCATATGCTTCTTCCTTGGCTCACTCATGTATTGATTGGTGTTGCTTACTACAAAAGCTATATCAGGCCTTGTTTGAGAGAGATAAATCAATTTTCCAACAAGTCTCTGATATCTTTCATTATCAGCAGCCTCTTCCTTCTCATTTTCCACTTCTTCAGCTTTATCATCGGAGTTATCTTCCTCTCCTTTTAACTCTCACTATTCTTCTTAGACTTCAGTTTCTTCTTTTTTGGAGACTGTAATAGGAGTTTCCTCAGGTTTACAACCTAGCGTGCTTGTCTCTTTTAAAAGATCAAGTATATACTTCCTTTGAGATACATAGATACCTCATTTTGATCTTGCAACTTCCATCCCAAGGAAGTATTTCAAGCTCCCAAGATCCTTAAATTCTTTTTAAAGAGCAACCTTTTTTCTTGCTATTTCCTCAACATGATCTTTTGTAGGAATTATATCATCAAAATACATGATCAGAATGCACTTCTTCTCTCCTTTTGCCTTAGCAAACATGGTGTGGTCTAACAGTCCCTGTTTATAGCCTTTTGACTTCAGAACCTTTGAAAACTTGTCAAACCATGCCCTGGGAGACTGTTTCAAGCCATATAATGATTTTTGAGCCTGGAAACTTGGTCAATTTTTCCTTCATCAAATTCTGGAGGTAGAGCTATGTAGACTCTTTTTTCTAGCTCTCCATTAAGAAAGGCATTCTTGATATCAAGTTGATGAAGTAGCCATTCCAAATTGGCTGCCATAGACAATAGAATCCTGATGGTGTACAATTTCACCATTGATGCAGAAGTTTCATTGTAGTCTAAACCATATGTCTAGGTAAACCTCTTGTTACTAGTTGTGCCTTTAACCTGTCAAGAGTACCATGAGCCTTGTATTTTGGAGTAAAAACCCATTTACAGTTAACAAGTTTCTTGCCTCTGGGCCTCTCAACAATCTCCCCTGTGCCATTCTTCTCTAAAGCTTTCATTTCCTCCATAACTACATTTCACCAGGCTGGTTGCTTCAATGCCTTATTAATGCTGTTGGGAACGTCAACTTTATCCACATTAGTGATAAAGGCCCAATAACTAAGGGATAGAGCCTTATATGACAAATGCTTCTATATTGGATGCCAAGTACAAGATAGAAGTTGTTTTCTAAAAGCAATGGGTAGATCAAGATCATTAGATTCATCTTCTTGGCTCAAATCATCTGGCCTATTAGATGAATTAGCCTCTGGGAGATCAGAAACAACATAAGGTAATAAACCACCTGATCCTTCAACTTTAGGAGTTACCTCAGGGGTTGACTCTTTTGGTGCTTTAGATACTAATTGCTCACTATTTTTTGATTTCTTCTTTCGAGTGTAAACGGGTACTCTTAAACTTTTTTTTTGGAATTTTTGCATATCCCCTTGCTTTCCTGTTTTCCTTAGTTTTTGGCTTAAGAGAATGGATTGGTGAAGGAAGGTTGGGATCAAGTTCTGGAAGTGGATCAGGCACAAGTGTGGTGGTATAATTTCTAATAAAGGAGGTAAGTTTGAAGTGGGATTTTGATTAGATTTCTCACTTTCCCAAGACTGAAATGCACCCAAATTCTCCCCCTAAATTGAAAGCTTGGAATAAAATGGGGTATCTTCGAAAAAGATCACATCAAGGCTCACAAAAAGGCATTTAGAAACAGGGTCAAAACACTTGTACCCCTTTTAAGTAGATGAATAACCTAAGAAGAGTAATTTAACAGCCTGTGGTTTACGCTTGGAACTTTGGTGGAGGTGGACAAATGATGTACAAGCAAAGATACGTAGTGAAAGATTGGTCTTAACATGAGATGTAAGGTAAACATTTTCTAATTTTTTAAGTGGTGATTCACATGACAAAACCTGACTCGACATTCTATTTATGAGATATGTTGTAGTGAGAATTGTGTCTCCTTAAAAATATTTTGGAATATGACAAGTGAACATGAGGGCTTGAGCAACCTTTAGTATATGTCTATTTTTCCTCTTAGCCATGACATTTTGTTGGGGGGTATGAATACAAGTACTTTGGTGGATAATGCCATGTTCACAAAGGAATGTTCCTAGAGATTGATTGAAATATTCAGCCTTGTTATCGATATGTAAAGTTTGAATGTTGGTTTCGAATTGGTTCTTAATCATGGAGTAAAAGGTAGGGAATACAAATGAAACTTTAGACTTTTCCTTTAAACAGTAAACCTAATTGAGACGAGTATGGTCATTGATAAAAGTAATGAACCACTTTTTATTGGTGCAGTTTGTAACATGAGATGGCCCGCACAAGTCACCATGAATTTTAGTGCAAGGTTTGGCAGATATATATTTGGTTTTGGGAAATGAAGTTCAGTGGTGTTTAGCAAGTCTACACACGTCACATTTGAGTTCAACAAGAATTTGATTTGGGCATAAGTTTAGAGACAAGCATTGGTGGTAATGAAAATTAGGATTACCCAACCTCTCATGCCATAACATAAAATCATCAACTTTGGATGTAGATAAAGAATTACCTACAGTAGGTGAATGTACATTACTCAAATAGGTGACCTCCAAAGAGCAAAGTCCCTACTCCGTAGCACTGCCAATTGTCATGCTAGATGATAAATCCTGAAAAATACAATGAGACAAGAGAAATTTTAGCAAAACAATTTGATTGCTTGGTCAATTGACTAACCGAAAGTAAATTGCAATCAAGTTTAGGCACATGCAGAATAAATTCCAAAACTAGAGAATTTGAGAGACGAATACATCATTTTCCGTTACAGGAGCTAAGGAACCATCCAATATCTTCACTTTAACATTCCCAACACAAGAAGTATAAGTGTCAAACAATTGATGACAACATGTCATGTGGTTAGAAGCTCCCAAATTAACAATTCAGACTATCACATTCTGAGAGGTTGTTAAAAATGAAAAAAAGATTCCTGGCTTTGCCACTGATATGATAAGCTACTTAGATCCAACCACATAGGCAGGAGATGTAGCAACATCCATATAGCCACTATAAGGGCTTCTTATGAGTAAAAACTCCTATAAGAAACAAGAGTTAGTAGCCACAACCCTTATGAAATCCAAAAAGCTTCGCACAGAGCCTAACATGTACTGTGTAGACTGATAAGTCGCAAGAAAAGAAGACCCATGCGTGGAAGACATCAAAATCTCGCCAAAATTATCAAGTCGACGCCAAGAGTTGCCAAAGCCTCATTAGACCTCTCACACGCTCTCACACACCATTGGAGGCTCATTAGCACAAAACACTATGCAACCATGTGTGATTCTGATGGAGACTTGGTAGTATGGGATGCCAAGTCCCACATTGAGTAATATGAGATACTCAATGGGGTATATAAGTGGGTTGGTTCTCTCGTTTCAACAGTTAGCTTTTGGGATTTGGTTCTCCATCTTACTTAGGTACCATCAATTGGTATTAGAGCCTCACTATCAGCGGTTTCAGAGAGGGCTACCCATACAGGGTTTTGACTAGAAGGAGATTGAGTTAAGTGCTGTGGAGTGTAGCCGTCGGGACATCGACTTTTCATGGGGGACTAATTGATGGAGACGTGGTAATATTAGATACCAAGTCCCACATTGAGTAGTATGGGATGCTAAATAGTGTATATGAGTAGGTTGGTTCTCCCACTTTAACAACTAGCTTTTGGAGTAAAGTTCCCCATCCCATTTAGGTACCTATCAAATTCACACGCTGCTGTTTGTGGTGGTTCTCTAAGGGATGGCCAACCGAGATTTTCTCTTCTATATGGGGTTAGTAGTAAGAGTCAACAGAGCCTTCACTATCACACATGGGAACACCCTAAAGTACTGTACAAGAGACTTTCTGCAACCCATAACCTAAGAGCCTTAAAAAACTATGATAAAACTAAGATGCTCTGATACCATGCAAATTTTAGATGAGAGAATATATTTCTTGTATTTATACTGAGATACAACCATGTACATATATACAATATGAGAGAAGACAATAGAATAAATACTTATAAAAGCCTAATAAAGACTAAGGATATGTTTGAAAGTATATGATGCAATAGAAAGGAATGGTCATTAATGGAATAGAGTGTGACAAAGTGGGACAGAGTGGAACAAAATGGAATATTCCATTGTTTGGGAGTTTTATTGAAGGAATAAATGATTTTATTCAATTATTAGTTATAATTATATTTGAATAAGATATAATTATATTTTTCAGTTTTACAATGAGGAGGAGTGAAAGAGTGAGAAGGGTTGAAAAGGATGAGGGTAATTTTATAATAATATTATTTATATTATATCATTTTATAGAAAAATGGGCTTAGGATGGCAAGGTATGGCTTGGAAGACCACCCCAAGCCATTCCGCTATCTTTTAAAGAATTCTCCCAATCAATAGTACAAGGCTTCTAGCCATCCCATTACATTTCATCTCATCTTAAAAAAAAACTGTCAAACATTACCTAATAATTTAGCCTAATAAAGACTAATAATGTATGATAATTACTCAATATTCCCACAAGGTAAGACACCATTTCTAGCTAGCAACTTGATGATGTTTCCACTAAACAGAACATATATATATATATAGAGAGAGAGAGAGAGAACCCTTCATGAGTAGTCCCTTACATCACATTTTGTTAGCTATACTTGTCTTATAGTCCTATAGGTTATGTAAAGCTTGCAGTACTAGAAATACAACTGTTGAAAAATAAGGAGTAATGAAGATTACAGCTAATACCTAATAAACTAATTCACTAAATATAATAATGTGCACTATAACATCTACTTTCCTGCCCTTCTTTGTATGTATTATTTCATGGATATTTGAATCATAATGAAGACTGTCGTATCTCTAAAATGTCAAAATCAGCCTTTCATTATTTGTTTGGGTGTGAACTTGGCTATCTTGCCTTTTGAATTAATTTTTTTGGTGACTTGCAATATAGGCCTTGTAAGCAAGATTATTGTTTTTCTAAAATCACCAATGGGCATAATTTTGCACCTCTTCTTTCCTTGAAGTTAATTACATAGTAAGTGAGAGAGAGTTCACTCATATCTAATGGTGGTTCTTGATAGGTAAGAATGTTCTGGACTGACAGGAATTAGAGAGGTATAGGGAAATATGAGAGAAGAACAGTGAAGGTAGGTAGGAGCAGGGAGAAATGAGAGAGATTTAGGAGAAGAGATGAAGAGAATTTGAGGAACATAAGGAGTACTCTTTATTTGATCATCAAAGATAAGGTTACAACTCAAATGCTTCAGTATATATAGGCTTAAGTTATTCCCTCCTAACGGCTATATTTTCACTAACCAACTGTTTAAATGAGACACGCATAACCGACCCATAAAACTATAACTAATCATGTTGTAATTATAAATCTATAACAATCCCCTATTTATTAAATTTTTCATGAGAGACACTTAGAGTTATTCATATTGAAATTTTAAGTGTGCTCCTGTTAACTTGATGGAACTCTTGGTGTTGGCTAAATCAATTCATTTTGATGAGGACCTCTTTGCAGCCATTAATGTTTGGCCAAAAAAAAAGTATAATGGGCTACTGAGTTGAATTATGTTACATATGTAGCATAGAAAGTGGGAAATTTTGAGATAATCTTTTTTATTTATTGTACAAGATATGATGTTTTAGCTTTCTTGGCTTGTCTCCTCTTTTCTCCTCCTATCTGCTGTTCAGTTCTGCCTGGATATTGTTTAACAAGAAGGTCATGAAATGAAGTAAATGATGATTTCAGAATGTTGCATGTTTGATTTTCAGGCGGAAATTCAGCTTAATTTTCAGAAAAGAAGAGGACATAGTGTCCTATCTGTGCTTAAGCCAAAATTCAGTGGTGTGCTTGGTGAAGCCCTAGATGTGGCAGCAAGATGGAGTGGAGATGTTGTGAGATCCTAAGCCCAGCCTTTTATATGTTTGCACCTATACTTGAGTTGCCTTTGGTAAACTTATAGCTATTTTTTTCCTTAGTAAATTAAATAAAGACACTTATTCAGCATGGCTTGGAGTTGATGTTGAATTTATATGCATGTGTATCTGTTTTTTCAGACTAACTCTATTGACCAGTCTGTATTTCTTCTTTTTGAAAGTCAATTGACACAACTTGCTACCATCTAATTGTGTACTTATTGATCAGTTCTGTTCTCATTATCATTTGAGGAACTGCATTTTTCAACTATTACATATCTTAGAATAGTGTACATGATGGTGTCTTTACTTAGGATGTACATAGTATAGTAGTACTGTGTAGGTTTGATGGAAATCTTGAGAAATTTCAAGATTTAGTTTGAAGATTTAGTTCAATTACTTTCTTTTATATTTTCATTATCTTTAGATATTTTGTTATATCCTTAGATTATTTTAATAAAATAAGATATTTAGGTCATGTTTTTAAAATATGGTTCGGGTTAGATTCTCAGTTGATTATTTTGTTTTTTTTATTATTTTAAACTCGGGATCCATAAATATCCAAGTTTCTCATTAGATACACTTTTTGCTGCTTGAATAAAACCATGGAGACTTTGCATTGTGTTTTCTCTTCTTCTTCCCCCTCTCTTCCCCTTTCCCCTCCCTGTTTCACGTCAAGGTTAGCTGTACTTCTTTGTATTACATTCTATTTTAACCCATAAATAAGATAAAATGTGCGTATAGTCATTTTCCAGATTCAACCCCCTTTAAGTTCTGTCCTATTCTTTATGGCATTAGATCACGTGTTTCCTTCTAAGAGTGTGGTAGGGTAGATGAAGGTAATGGCTCAGGGGGTTAGTGGTAGTAATGGCTCAGTTGGCGTAAAACATGGCCCAGGAAGAACTAGTTCTCTGTTAGGTTCTTATTCCTAAGATTGAGATTTTCCTATGCTCTCCCCCTGAATCAAGGATTGGGATATAATGGAGTCTCTTCATGAATGATGACATCAAGGTTGACAAAAGTGTGTTTTGAGATGGGGACAAAGCATTTGTATCTTTTCTGAGTAGCAAAATAACCAAGAAATCTACATTTGATAGCTCAAGTTTAAGTTTAGAGCTTTGGTTGTTAAGGATAAAGGCTAAGCAACCAAACAGGAATCAAAAAATTGCTTTCAATATGGAATGTGGAAAAAACACTTTGCAATTTGTGGAAAGGGGTTTCAAAGGGTAAGATTTGACTTGGCATATGGTTAATAAGGTAGGTTGCGGTCGAAATGGTATCCTCCCAATAAAACTTGGGCACATTGCAAATAAACATGAGTGCTCTTGTAATGTCAAGTATATGGTGATTTTTCCTTTCTGTAGCCCCATTTTGTTGGGGTGTATGAGCACAGGAATTAGTATAGACAATACCATGCATTTAGAGGAAAGCACTCAAAGATTGGTTAAAGTACTCAATCCCATTGTCAATGTGTAAGATGTAGATGGTGGTGTTGAACTGAGTTTTGACCATAGTGAAGAAATTCATGAAGGTGGATGCTTCCTCAGACTTATTTCTTAAAAGATAAACCCAACAAACATGGATATGGTCATCAATGAAAGAAATGAACCATGTTTTAGTATGATTGGGAGTATGAGGTGGTCCCCATAAGTTATTATGAATGGTTGTGAAAGGTTTGGTTAGTGTGTATGGAGCTCTAGGTAAGGAAGTTTTGTGGTGTTTGGCAAGTTCACACACTTCACAATAAATTTCATTAATATTCAGGTTTGAGCATAGAGTTGGGAACAATCGTTGAAGGTAATGAAAATTATGGTGGCTTATATGCTTATGCCACAACATAAGGCCATTAACTTTACAAGTAGATGTAGAATTACTAACAACTAGTGAGTGACTCACTCGAGTGGTGTCTTCAAAATAGTAGAGCTCCTTATACTTCGTAGCACTTCCAATTGTCGCTTCAGATGATAGATCTTGAAGCACGCAATGGGATGGGAGGAATTTAACATGACAATTTGATTGCTTGGTTGATTGACTGATTGAAAGTACATTGCAATCGAGCTTGGGTACATTAAGAGCAAATTCTAATTCTATAGATTCTGAGATCCGAATATTCTCTTTTCTTGCTACAGGTGCTAAGAAGCTAGCATATGGGATGTGAGTACTAAATAATTGATGACAACTGATCATATGGTCATATGCTTCCTGAGTCCATAATCCATATTGTTGAATCTTGGGATGTCTTTAGTGCTTGAAGAAAAGTGCCCTTTTTTACTGCTAATGCTAAAGGTACAGATTTGGCGATATGTTTTTGGGTGCTAGGAGTATCCACATTATCACTCCTATGACCTCAGCCACGAAGACTGCCTTAAAACAGATGGGGATCAGCTGCCATAGCCCCCAACACAGAAAGCTACACTGCAAACATAGGTACACCGAACAAGTGAACCTGCAAAAAAGGCAACCTGAAACCTGGGAAACTCTGGGAAATGGCTGGAATCATCACACCAATGCCAGAAAAGGAAGTTGCCATCGGCCTAGGCCTCTCACGCACTGACACATGCCACATCTTCTAGTGCAGAATCTTCAGTCAGTGCTTGTGAGATAGACATGCCACAATCACCATCGTTTTTTAGGGTTCCATTGATCAGACCTTGGTGCTGCTCCCTATGCCGACAGTGAGATCTAGAAAGCTCTTGACCATCACAAGAAACAATGGCCAGAGGCACCTGAACAAAGTCATCATGCAAAGCTTCACCCAATAAACCCAAAAGCCCTAAACACACAAAGCCCAAGGCTCTAATACCATGTGAAAATTTAGGATAATAGAATATGTCACATTGATAATTCTGAGTCACATATTGACTATATAATATAGGAGGGAAAATAATTACTAGTAAAGTCTAATCAAGCCTAATAAATACTAATAAATGCTATACACTAGGGACAATATTTACAATAAATATAAAATATTCCCATAGAAAGTGTATCTTGTAGTGTCTTTATTGATAATGTACATTTAAGTATCTAGGTTCATTGCACTTCTCTTGTACTAAATTCTACTTCACCTGTAAATAAACCTGACATGTAAGGAGTAGAATTAGCTTATATATTCAACCCATATAGTTCTGTAATTGTTAAGTACTTAAAATGTCTATTTATATCTTTTTTATGTCTGCTAAGATGAGTTTATTATTTTATTACAAAACTAATTTTTTGGTTGTCAAGAAAGTCTTCCATAAAGGTAAAAAATTTCAACTTTGCAGAAAAATATTGAACTGCTTTTTTGGTGCTGTTTTCAATTTCATGTTAAAAGTTTTAGCTTTTTTTGGAAGCGATTTATCTTTAAAAAATGCACTCTTTGTGGGAAAAAAAAAAAGCTGATCCTAACAGGTGCTTACTCTTTACAAAAATTGTGTTCAGTTTACTGTGCTGTCTGATGGCTTCACTTTGATTGATCTTAAGCTTGTAGACATTAGGTTTTAGATATTCTGTTATGATTTATATGCAATGGGATCAACTTTTTTTATCATCATAATGTCATACTAGCTGTGAAGAAATTGTCTCTAATGATGTCTTTTATTATTTTCTTGAATCATTCAATTTCATCGGTATTTCAATAGAATTTATATGATTTACTTTTGGGCAAATGTAGCAAGCATAATGTTTGTGTTTGACGCTAACTGTATGCTGATGTGCTCTTGTTCAGATCACCTTAGAAAAAGCTGTCTTGGAACAAAACTACAGCCGTTATGGAGTTCAAGGTGAATATGTTTTGCATGGCGCTCCTTACCCTGTTGATGGAAAAGGGGGTGACTATCTTAAAAAGCAAATGTCGGTGCCTCTTAGTAGTGTTATATCCTCAATGGGCAGGTGGAGAATGAGACTTGAGGTTCCTAGAGCTGAGGTTGCAGAGGTGCTTCCTCTTGCAAGGCTTTTTTCTCGAAGTATGGACCCTGCTGTCTGTTCAAGATCAAAGGTTGTCTTATGCTCTCTGTCTTTGGGAGTCACACACACGCACACAAAAATAGTCATCTGACTAATGTAGCTCTGTTGATTAAGATGCTTTATTCATGTCTAGTTGTCTAATTACAACTTCTAGTTGGTTCCCTTAAGTGTCAAATTTTTTTCTTCTGATTTTGTGCATTCAGAAGTTTATATGAATTTGTGCCATCTTCTTCCTTCACCCGCAAAAGGTTTTAAAAAACGTGAGAAACATTGTGAGGAAAATTGCTAAGCCTAGTCATGCCCTTTGGGTCTTAACTAATGCTCCTTTTAAGGATCTGAAAACTTCAAGACAATTCTTGGGTTTCACAGGGTACTATAGGAAGTTTGTGAAAGATTATATGGCTGAATAGCAGCTCCATTGATTACACTTCTTAGGATAGATTCTTTCAAAAAGAGTGAAGAAGCTTAAGTTGCTTTTCAAATCTTGAAGGAGGTTATGACAAAATCCCTGTGCAGCCATACCAGCTTTTACTATTCCATTTATTGTCGAAGCTGATGCTTCTGGCTTAGCAGAGGGGGTAGCGTTGAGGCAAAACAATAGGTCAATCACCTGTTTCAGTCAATTTCTTTCAGCTAAGCACAGGAAAAGCTTGTTGTATGAAAGAGAGCTCGTTGCTATAGTGTTAGCAATGAAGAAATGGTGACACTACTTGATGGGGCATAAGTTCATCATCAGTACTGATCACAAGGCACTTGGATTCTTGCTGGAACGAAAGATGATTGATCCAGATCAGCAAGGTTAGGTGATAAACTTCATGGGTTATCAATTTGAAATACACTACAAGTTTGGAAGAACTAATAAAGTGGCTAATGCATTGTCAAGAAAGGCTGGGCAGTTTGAACTTTCAGCCCTCTCAGTTTGGCAATTTAAGTGTGTGGAAGAAATAGACAAAGAAAAGAAGCAAGACCGAGTATTAGCGAAAATAATTCCAAAATTGATTGCTGGAGAAAATCCTCAAGGTTACAGTTTACAAAGAGGGTGTTTAACCTATAATACCAACCTCATAGTTCCTAAATTTTCCGCTTGAGTGACTGAATTTATTGAAGCATGTCACAGCTGACCGTCAGGAAGCCATTCAAGATACTTAAGGACTCACAAAAGACTCTAAGAGGTGCTTTACTAAGAAGAAATGAAATGAGATGCACATGATTTTGTAGTGAGGTGAGATTTTGTCAAAGAAACAAATATGAAGCTTTGTCACCTACTGGTTTATTGCAACCTCTTGCCATTCCTCAACAAATATGGGAAACTATTAGCATGTAATTTATCAACAACAACAACAAGCCTTATCCTACTAGATGAGGTCAGCTACATCAATTGTATGATGCTATTATGCTCTATCATTTACCAAATTTTTAGAAATGTTGTTGATTGAGAGGTCTTGATCAATAACTTCCATAAGTGTTTTCTTTAACCTTGAGGCTCCACTTTTGTGAGTGATAAGATGTTCATCCCTATTCTTGAAACAAGCATTGGCAATCTTGAAATCATATGCCAAAGAGAAATCAAGTATAGATTGTCTTTCATTGTTTAGCTCTCTAAAACAAAAATCACCATGCATCCTCGCATAATTGCCTGCCTCCTTCCCAACATGACCATTAAAATCTCTTTCAATAAAGATCTTTTCACTTTGTGATGTGCATTTAATCAACCCCTTCAAGTCTTCCCAAAACAATTTGATACATGGGAATTGGGAATAATAGGGGTAATTAGGGGAATTAAGAATATAAGGGTAGTATGGGTATTTAGATATATCCTCTATAAATAGGTCTCTAGGTTGTAATGGGAAATTATGAATAAAATTAATCTCTCTGTTTCTCTCTATTCTCCTTCTGCCTCTCCTTTCTTTCTCCCTCTTTCTCTTCTACCTCTATAAAAGGTATCAGAGTCTCCTCTCTGGCCATGGCTCTACCGGAGAGCTGATCCAACGAATGCTTTAGTGTTCTCGAATATCATTTAGAGATGCAATCAGCTTGGCTTCAATGCAACCAGTAGATATTACGCCAGCAGACTCACAACTTCAGTGAGATCAAGTAAACCATGTCTCACATTTCTCAACAAATGCACAAAATCTCGGCTAAGCTTTCGATGCTTACCGAGCAGCGCTTGTACTCTCCTGTGGTCATTATGGGTGAACTGTTTAACACGCTGAACCATGTTTCAACTGTGCTCGAGTTCAAGCACCAACAACAAAACAGTAACATAGACACAGAAACAATGGGGGAGTTGAATGATATTGCCGAAGATGAAGAAAAACTTGAGGATGACATCAAGATTGAAGCAAATCAAGAGCGGAGGACTACAGAAGTGATGCAGAATGAAGTTGCCAGCCTGACTATAGATGAAGAGGAATTCGATAGAATGCTCAAAACCTTGAAGCTTGACGAGAACTTCGATAGTGATGGCGATGGCTCACAAATTTTTCCAGACATTCCCACTTCAATGGCTTGTCCTCATGTCACTGGTGCGACAGCGTTGTTAAAATCGACACGTCTAGATTGGAGCCTGGCTGCTATAAGGTCAACGATGATGTTGATTGCAACTCTACTGGATATCAGAAGCCAACTCTTGTTGGAGGGAGTATTGATACATGGGAATTGGGAATAATAGGGGTAATTAAGGGAATTAAGAATATAAGGGTAGTTTGGGTATTTAGATATATCCTCTATAAATAGGTCTTTAGGTTGTAATGGGAAATTATGAATGAAATTAATCTCTCTGTTTCTCTCTATTCTCCTTCTGCCTCTCCTCTCTCTCTCTCCCTCTTTCTCTTCTACCTCTATCACAATTCATTAAGATCGACTTCTTTCCAGGCTTGATGTGCATAAGCGCTAATAATATTAACAATCTCGCTTCCAATAATCATTTTTAAAGAAACAATTCTATCCCCAATTTTGATAACTTCTACCACATTCTTCTTCCACTCCTTATCAACAATGACATCCACCCTATTTCGTGTGCTTACTTTTCCTATATACCAAAGTTTGAAACCTTGAATATCCTTGGCTTTTTCATCGAGCCATTTAGTTTCCAAATCTAATCTTGCTCACGGTTTTGACTCAATAATGGCAGCAATAGCGGCCAGCTTTCAAAATACATCTTTGTTGCCCTATCCAATTCTTTTTCAGCAAAGAGGATTGCAGAAATTTTCATTAGGGAGGTGGTGAAGCTACATGGATTCCCAAAATCCATAGTTTCTGGCAAGGATGAAGTCTTTATTATCCATTTTTGGATGGAACTTTTTCGAAAGTTTAAGAACTACTCTCAATTTTAGTTTTGGCTACTATACTTGAACTGGTGGCCAAATGGAAAACTCACCATAACCTGCACCATGTATTTTAGTTCTACACAGCTCTTGGTATTTGATCCTCCCATAGCAAGAATCTTCGTCGGTACTAACTATTGATTGAATGAAGTATATGTGACTTTGATCATTGAAGAAGATCCCTCCATTATCCAACTAACATGAAGTATTAGCAGCTTTGCCCTCTGGAGAAGAGTTCTTTCAAGTGGGAAAGAATAATGGAAGATGAAAGACTCCTACTAGGAGTAAGATTCCTTAAGATATTAAATTAATTTTATGTTATCTTTATTTTAAGTTCTTAGGATTTATATTATCTTATAAGTAAATTTTGTCAGGATTTATCCTATTATCCTATCTTCTAGGATAATTTTATTTTTTATTATCTATCTTCATGCTATCTTTTAAGATTTATTTTATTTAGATTATATTTTATTATTTTAAATCATTGTACCTAGGGCTCTATAAATAGTTCTAAGCTCTCCTCAGTTATTTGATTATATTTGATGAAATGAATTGAGTTGAGAATTTTGTGTTCACTGTCTCTCTCTCTATCACTCAAGTTCTTTTCTCCTTCAATTTCTTTGTTTTTCCCTCCTTTCTTTCTATCTCTCCTTCCTTCTCCCTCTGCCCCTTTTCCCCTCCTTGTTTTACATCAAGAAGTGGTGAATCTTCCAGAAGTTCTACCAAAGAGAATGAACATGAATTACTCATTTTAAGGAAGTATATGGGAGATTTCTATATTCAGGTGAGGTGGTGAGACCTTTGCCGTGAAAGTGGTAAATCTGCAGTTGAAGGAGAGAAGTTCAGTAATGGACGGAGCTGAAGCACCAACTGGAAAAATCATAGAATTGTATAAAATGTTTGGCGGATATTAAAAGAAGTGAATTATGAGAATGGAGATTTGGTGTATGTATGGGTCAGTGTTATATAATTTGTAATTTTGAAATATTAGTTGTTATTATTAGTTGGTTAGTTTTTTGTTAGTCCGTGATTAAATAATATAGCCGTTAAGATAGTTAAGGGATTAGAAGCCTATAAATACTACAAGACACATTTGTATCCTTTGTTGTTCTAATGATAACGACAGCACTATTCAATCCTTCTCTGTTTCTCTCTCTCCCTTTCTCTGAATTCTCTCTACCATCTATTCTTCTCTCCTCTATTCTTCTCTCTCTTTCCCTCCCTCCCTCCCTCTCCCTCTCTCTCTCTCTCTGTGTCAAAATTACAAGGATATATTAGTGGTATCCAAAGCCAGTCATTCTCGACAATATGGATGAACAAACTTTGGATGACATTCAACAATCTCTCATCCAGATATCCAAACAAATTACCCAATATGTGCATTTAGAAGCAAGTAAAACAGTGGTGGATGTTCAAGAAGTGTATAAGAAAGCTCAACGTTGGTTAGATAGGATAGCAGTATGGCTGAATGCAATTTTGATTTCAACAGAATCACCTACAAGCATAAGCTAACTGAAGACTATCTTGTCAATGCATACATATTGGATCTTTAGTAAGAAATCAAAGATATGGTGCAGTTATTCAATCTCGCTAAATTATAGGACGCAAGAAGCCTTGCCAAACTCTAAGAAATTAACTTGGAGAAGGATAAGATTAAGTCAACAGTGCAAGATATATCAAACAGCAATGAGAACACTACTAAAATCAACAGGGATTCCAAGAATGAAAGGCAGGACAATTTAGCAATTGACAGTGGGTTTTTCTTGTCATCTTTACTAGAAGAATGCAAAGATGGTTCCAAGAACTTAGAGCAAGTTACATCGAAGGAGGTCAAAAATACTACTCAGATGACTAAAGCTACCCCAAGCATCAAAGGTAAAGATAAAGATACAGGGGAAAATGATAGGAAATGCCTCGACTCTTTTCAATATGACTTGCAAAGGACAATCCAGCTTGCGTGCTTGCATGATGGAAATTGAAGGTTGATAGAAGAGTCATTGTTGCCAACTGTTTTGGGTTCTTCATCCCCTTTTGTCTCAATTTTTATCCTTAATTCTTCCCATCATAACAAGGGCCGGTATATGGCTTCCAAGTACCTCGAAAAAGCAGTTTATTGATGTTGCAAAACCCCTTTGTCATGGTTCTCTCATTAACGTGGGTATCTTCCCACTTCTAATCTTGTTTCCTTAAACTCGTTGCCGCTATCTTCTTGGTTTTGTTTGCCATTGTCTCTGCATGCTTCACTATCATTGCTGTCTTTTGTTTTTGTGGGGGTGTCCACGCCGGTTCGGCTAGGGAGTGACCAAGCTGTTTGTATTGACAAACTTAAAACCTTAAATTCCTTCCAACATGGTGTGTTGACAAGAGTCCAAGACTTTTTGGAGCTGCAGGGAACATGCATGGCTATCTTAATGATGTTGTGCACTTGTCAAAGCATGGATTCTCAAAAAATAAAGGCATACGGGCAGGTGTCAACTGGGAAGAAGATTTTAAGTAGGGCCTGCACATGTGGAAGCCTGAGTGTAAGACGACTACTCTCTAGCATAAATGGGTGTTGCTTGTTTAGGGTTAGTGGATGCCAACTATCTTCGATAAATAGTACATGGGTTCACAAGTCAAGTAAATGGATTAATATAAATTGCATGGGCCCAACACTGAAGGGAATTATTTACTGGACTTCCATCATTCAATTACTCTGTGCCTATTTATTTATTCTCCTATGGTATAGAGGAAGATTACTCAACATGCTTTTGGGCTCAAGCATGGTCATGGTTGTTTCCATTTATTCCAGCATCAACAATGAACAGTACCTTCTAGAATTTTAATATCTTTGTCAATTTCAGCAAAAATTACCTCAATTTGTTGTTCTTGACCATTGAGGGCAAGGGTCTCTTTGGAGGGGGGGAGGGTATTGTTATATAATTGTAATATTGAAATATTAGCTGCTGTTATTGTTAATTGGTTAGTTACTGTTAGTCCGTGATTAAATAATATAGCCGTTAGGATAGTTAGGGGATTAGAAGCCTAAATACTATGAGGCACATTTGTATCCTATGCTATTCTAATGATAATGATCGCACTGTTCAGTCCTTCTCTGTTTCTCTCTCTTTTCTCTGTCTCTTTGAATTCTCTCTATCTTCTGTTCTTCTCTCTCTTCCCCCCTCTCTCTTTCTATTTCTTCTCTCTCTTCCCCCCTCTCTTTCTATCTCTGTAAGAATTACAGAGATATGTCAGTCAGGCCTTACAAACAGAATGGTCTTTCCGGAGATACATTCTCTACAATGTGTTGGAAACAATTGGAGTTGTTGCTTACGAAGCTACATTTGCACTCAACTACTAGAATAAACCTAATATTCCATGTTCCCTGGGGGCAAAAAATCTCTCAGTAACCAGGCAGAGCATCTCAATATATTCCAATGATTCTAGTTGATGATTTGGAAATGAAAGTTGAACTTGAACTTGTTTTAAAAACAAGGAAAATGACCAATTATAAGCTGGAAGTGTTGATCTAATGGAATGATTTACCTGCAGCAATGTACTTGGGAAGAATGAGTTGGTTAACATCCAATTCCTTGATTTTCACCTTGAAGACAAGGTGAGACTTGCTTGGGAGGTAGTGATGATCCTAGGATATATATACCAGTTGATCCAATCCTATGACAGTAGGAAAAATATAAGCGAGAAGAATGAACTGGCAAGGATGGAGCAAATTGTAATGAACTCTGACTTGTATAGTGGGAAGGGGAGAGTGTAGGATCATGACGGGACTGGTAATGGCGAGTGCTCCTCTGAAATGTTAACACGTGAGGCACAGTGTGTTTTCTCATGTTTGCCTTCTGTTTTTCATTTTGGTATTTCTAGTGTGCATACTTTGCTGTGATTACCAGAGCTAAGACATTTATTCTTACACTGATGGGGGGCTTTCCTGGTTATTTTGTCTGCATATATAACACAATTCACAGCCAAATTTGCCATTTTCACTCTGGTTCCTGTCAGGTAGTAACAATTCTACTATTCAAATCCAAGCCAATAAGGAAACAAAAATCATTTAAAAAAGGAAATAAGCATGGCACTCAGAAATAATAAAAGATTTTAAATTAAAAAAAATTCCCAAATAGCCAACTGGCTAGGGTACTCATTTTAGACTTGTGACTCAAGGTTGCATGCTCCAGCACTTCTTAAGTTTGGCCGTAGATATTTAGAAGACCTAGCTTGGTACTGTGCTCTACAAAATTAACTCTCAAAAGTTTCTTAGTGATTAATTCTTTAATATGCTATTTTTAAAAAAATCATAATTTTATCAACCTTTTCTGTATAATTATATCTAAAAAATATTATTTCACTGTGTGGGCTATATGTGCAAACTGGTTGGTTGTTGTCTGCTGAATTATCTATGCTTTTTTGCTACATACAATGAATTTAAGAATAATGTAATGGTTTTGCTGCTTCCTTCACAGCACTTGCATAGTTTATCCCATATAGATTCTTTCATTGAAAAAAAAAAAAAAAAAACTGATTTTGCATTATGCTTTGTCATATATACAGGATCTATTCATTCAAAGTTTGCAGTCAGTGGGATTATATGCTGAAAACCTTCAAGAACTGCTTGAGGTATTGTCAAGGAGTCATTATGCTGTATTCCATTCAAAAGTACTACCCATTGCCTGTGAGTTTATGCTCAGAAACGCATCATGAAGTTAATAACTACGAATCCCATTATAGGCATCTGAGTGCCTCTTGCTCGTTAATAAATAATTAAACTGTAGATCTTGTGCTTTTTACGAAGTTTAAGTCAATTGCACTATTCATAACTTATGAATAGTATGGTTGCCTATAGATTTTATATCCTATATTGATATTGATATTGATTGATATATTGATGTATATATATATCCCTTGCAGATGATTAGGGAGCACCAGGCTTCTATGAATGATGTTCTTGAAGATTTGAACCTACCTGGTTTATCTGAACTCAAAGGTCACTGGTGTGCCTCACTTGATGCTAGTGGTGGTGGACATGGAGATACCTTGGTAAATTTTTTATTGTTTATGTCCTTTGAAGTTAGCATGATCATCTTTTTTGAAATTTGGCTGTCTTATTCTATCACATTTCAGGCTGAATTCAACTTTCAAGGTGAGAACTGGGAGTGGGGAGACTACAAATCTCAGCGCCTCTGGGCTGCTGGTGCTTATAGTAATGATGCTGGTCTTCACCTTGAGAAAATTTTTATCCAGAAGGATAATGCCACCATCCATGCAGATGGGACTTTGTTGGGGCCTAAAACCAACCTTCATTTTGCTGTCTTAAATTTTCCAGTTAGTCTGGTCCCAACTCTAATTCAGGTCATTGAATCTACAACAACAGATGCCATTCATTCTTTGCAGCAATTATTGGCACCAATTAGGGGTATATTGCATATGGAAGGAGATCTTAGAGGCACTTTAGCAAAGCCAGAATGTGATTTGCAAGTAAGGCTCTTGGATGGTGCAATTGGTGGAGTTGATCTTAGACGAGCAGAAGTTGTTGCTTCTTTAACTTCAGCCAGTCACTTTGTTTTCAATGCAAAATTTGAACCTATAATCCAAGATGGGCATGTACACATTCAAGGAAGTATCCCTGTTTCTTTTGTGCAAAGTAACATATCAAATGAAGATGTAGGATTTGATAAAAATCTGGTTACTGGGCCTGTACGATGGATGGAGAAGAATAAAATGATGACTGAGGATGCTAGTGACAAGAAAGCTTCTAGAGATAGAAATGAGGGTTGGAGTACTCAATTAGAAGAAAGTCTTAAAGGTATACACTGGAAAATTTTGGATGTTGAAGAAGTCAAGGTTGATGTCGACATAATTGATGGGGGAATGATGTTGTTAACAGCTTTAACTCCTTATGCCAGTTGGCTTGATGGCAATGCTGATATCATGCTTGAGGTGGGCAACGTTAATAATGGCTTCTTACATTTTTGTTACACATGAACTTAGTGTTTTAATTTTATATGATTTGTTTCTTATTCAAATAATTTATCTGTACCTGCTTTAATTCTTGTCATGTCTCAATTTAACAGTGCAGAGGTACAGTTGATCAACCAATTCTAAATGGATATGCATCATTCCACAGGGCATTGATATCTTCTCCGGTGCTCAAAAAGCCACTGACCAACTTTGGTGGAACTATTCACATAAAATCAAACACATTATGCATCACTTCAATGGAGAGTAGGATAAGCAAAAAAGGAAAACTGCGTGTAAAAGGGAACCTTCCCCTCAGAACTAGTGGTGAACCAGCCAATAATGACAAGATTGAGTTGAAGTGTGAAGTTTTGGAAGTGAAGGCAAAAAATTTTAGGTTGCTTTCTTTATTTCTCTCAACTTTTTGGCAAAAGGGTTCTCTAGTTATCTCTCAACTTATTTATCAATCTATGTGGCTTATATAATCAATGAATAATTCATATTAGCTAGAATTGCAATTTTGTGATTCCTCAAAAAATTCATTTTAGTAAATATTTTCTTTTGTAGAAAAGGAAGTTCATTGATGATAAGATAGAACAGGACAAAAATAGGGGACAAGAGATCCTCCTCATTGAAAAGTAAAGAAACAAGAGGCAAAACACATGCACACAAGGGGAGAGAGACTTAGATAGTATGATATGCCTAGGTTCCATAATATGAGATGCTTTATAGCTAGCTTCTGAGAGAAATGTTGCAAAGTATAACCTGAGGTTGACCGAAGAGATTTATGTAAAACTTAAATAGAAGAGTTTTTATATTATTTCTTATTTTAGGAGAGGATATCATGGGCTGATTATGTGGGTATTATGATTTATATGAAGCACTAAGTACACCGGAATGGAGGATTACAGTATTGGAGGAAATGAGAGCATTGGAGAAAAATGAAACTTGTGAAGTGGTTGAATTGCCTAAAGGAAAGAAGACCTTAAGTTGTAAATGGGTGTTCACCCTAAAGTATGATTTAAATGGAAGTCTTGATAGGTATAAAGCTCACCTTGTGAGAAGGGGCTTTACTCAAACATATGGGTTGGACTACAAGGAGACATTTGCACTTGTAGCAAAGTTGAATATCATCGAAGTCTTGCTCTCCATGGCAACCAGCCTAGATTGGCCATTGCAGTAACTCAATATCAAGAACGCATCCTTGAATGAAGATCTTAAAGAAGTATATATGATTTTACCTCCAGGTTTTCGCAAAGGTAGAAACAATCAAGTGGGCAAGTTGAAGAAGTCATTATATGGCTTGAAGCAATCTCCGAGAGCATGGTTTGACAAATTCTCATAGGCTCTGAAAACAGTTGGATACAGATAAAGGGCTATCTCATCACACCATGTTTGTCAAGTTCGAGGGAGGTAAATGATGCGTGTAATTGTATATGTTGATGACATAATTTTTTATGGTGATTATGTTGAGGAAACGAGCCATGTAAAACCCATTATAGGAAAAGTTTAAAGTCAAAGATCTTAGGAACTTGAAGTATTTTCTTGGAATGGAAGGTGCAAGGTCAAAGAAGGGGATATATGTCTCACAAATAAAAAAAAAAAATATATATATATATATATACTTGATTTACTCAAGGAAATAAGGTTACTTGTGTGCAAATCTGTTGAGACTCCTATTGTTGTCAAGAAAAGCAAGATGACAAAGAAGAGGCATAAGGATGTTGGAGAGTCCAAAGAGGAAGAGGAAAGTGAAGAGGAAGGAGAGAAAGAAAAACAGGAGACAGTTGATAATGAAAGATACCAAAAACTTGTGGGAAAATTAATCTATCTCTCACACTCTAGACTTGACATAGCTTTTGCAGTCGGTGTGGCAAGCCAATATATGAGTTGTCCAACCAAGAAGCAACTAGAAGCAATGTATAGGATTTTGAGATATCTAAAAGGTACACTTGGAAGAGGGTTGCTATTCAAGAAGCAAGAACAAAGATCCATAGAGATTTATATTGATGCTGATTTAGGTGAAACTTATAAAGACAAGAGGTCAACCTCCGGCTATTGTTCATATGTGTGGAGAAATCTGGTCACTTGGGAAAGCCAAAAACAAGAGTTGTATCCAAGAGTAGTGCTGAATCAAAATTGAGAGCTTTGGCTTAAGGAATTATGGAAGAACTGTGGTTGAAGTGAGTAATGGATGAGATACAAGTCAGAGTAGATTTACCACTGAAACTTTATTGTGACAATAAAGCTGCTATTAGCATGGTGCTAAATCCTGTTCAGCATGAACGGTTGGAACATGTGGAGGTGGATAGACACTTTATTGGAGAAAAAAGTGGAGGAAGGAATTATATGTTTAGCATATATTCCTATCAAACTTCAGGCTGTAGATGTGCTGACCAACACGGACCTACTTTTGAAAGCTGCATAAACAAGTTGGATATGATTAGCATTTATGATCTAACTTAACGGGGAGTATGATTGACCAAAGAGATTTACGTAAAAGTTAAATAGGAAAGTTTTTATATTATTTCTTATTTTGGGAGAGGATATCATGGGCTGATTATGTGGATGTTATGATTTATTATTTTTCCTGATTCTTCTCCTAGGATCGTGGGATTCAGCATCCCCTCCTCTCTATAAATATTTTGTATACCCTTTTGTAAATAATATATAACACTCTGACAGCTTCATTGCTTCGTAACCACCAGGACTTCGACTCTCTAAGAGGGTCAATTAATAGAGACTTAGATAGTGTGGGATTCTTAAGTACCACATTAAGTATTATGAAATGCTTTATGGGGTATTTAAGAGGGGTAGTTCTCTCATCATTCCCATTCCGCTTCAGTACCTATCAAACTCTTTAGCTAGTTATGCTATGTCAATCTTTGGTTAACCTGTAACTACTCTCTAAACATTGATATGATTTGACTGGTTCATTGTTTCTAAGCTTGAAGCGTTGTTGACAGAAGTTCTTAACATGTAATTCTCTTAATATTTGACACATAGCATTGGAAACGTGTAAACCCTTCTCCCCAAATCCTTTTCTTCTCTCTCTTTGCTTTTTTATGTGTTTCTTTAAAGCATATGTTGTACTTTTGTCAGTGGTCAGGTGGACTCTCAGGTGCAAATAACCGGTTCCATATTGCAACCAAATGTATCTGGGAATATTCAAATCAGTCATGGAGTGGTAAATTTGCCTCATGATAGGAGTGCTGTTATTGCTTCTACTAGATTCCCATCAAATCAGTCTATGCTTCCTGCTAGTGGAATCAGCCGAGTTGTCGCTTCAAGATATGTTTCACGGTATTTCAACTCTGAACATGCTGCCTCAGGGAACAAACTTTCCCAATCCTCTGGTAATACTTTTTTCTCTTTTTGGTTGAGAAACTTCTGATAGTACTTTACATGCTCATCAGTTTAGCACATTATATAGTCCTTCTACCTTGAAATCTGCTGCTGACTTTTTGTAATTAGAATTGACCCCCTTCTAGGAATTGGAAACTAAAAGCTTATACTCGGTAGTCTTTATGTGCTAATATTTGTATCTATTGAATCTTAAAGTTCAGCTTCAATGTACTTTATGTATGCCATGTAAGTCAAGGACTTTCTACGCAATAATGTATCCTTTTGAAGAGTTTATGTATGTGAGCTAGATATTTTTTCTTAACCTGCGAGACATTATCCTCTTTAAAAAAAAAACGAATTTTTACTGATATGAACTATCTTTGATATCATAGTTTTCTTTTGTATCCTTCTAAATGTTTGGAATCCTGTCCAAAAATATTTCTTTGAAAAGCCATTTTTGGTTTCCAGTATCCAATCAAGGGAAGGTTTAGGCTGAGATTTTTATCCTTCATTATAGTCATCCCCACTAAATACACACCTTATGTTGTTGGATTTCGACAGGACATCTTCAGGAACCATTGTTGTAAAGTAACTCATACAGTGTACAATTTTTTTTGTTTTTTTTTGAATTGGAATGAGGCAAACTAGCCCTGTAGGGGATTGAACCCACCACCTCCCCTATACAAGGGATCACTTTGCCACTAGGGCAATGCACCAAGTGCCATTTTTTTTCGTTTATTCAGCTTCTTTAGGGGAATATTTTCCTTTAAATCTTCCTCTCATATTCATGCTGGTAATCTTGTAGTCATTTTTCTTCTCAATCGTCCAGGCACAAATTCTTGCTATATGGTAATTACACTCCTCCTTTGGTGTAGTTGATCCTTTGCTTCTCTCCTAACATGTTTCCTCGTCCTTCAAGAACCAATTTTTTCCGCCACCATTTCAGTTTATGATTATTAGTAGTAATGCTATGGAAAGGAAGTATTCCATGCATGCCTACAGGCAACAGCATATGTACATGCGCTACTTGTGAATCTAGTTTGTTATATTGTATCAAATTGAAATTATTTGGAAATACAAAAAATATATAAGCAAATGTCATGATTGCTCAATTTATGACTACATGAATACATGGGGCACCTTCATACTGGCCCTTTTGATCATACTCTCCTTGCTTAGAAGTATTGTAAGTAGTCATTTTTAGTAAGATTGTGGATATTATCTGAAACTAGATGGTAACATCATCAATACCATTGTTTTTCTATCCAACTTATGCTTTTTGTTTCTCCACGACTTGTGGTTTCTTGCTTGCTATTCTGCAATTGTGATCTGGTTATTTCCCTTAATTCTTCAAGCTATGTTTGTTTAGTGGCTGTCTTGCTGTATATTATGACCTTAAAATAATAATTGCAGTCAAGTTAACTCAAGTTGAAAGGGACATGGAGCAATTGCAAATCGAACCAAACAAGGATATATGTCTTAGAGACTTGAAACTCACACTTGGACCCGAGTTGAAGATAATATATCCTTTGATTCTTGATTTCACCGTTAGTGGAGACCTTGAGTTAAATGGCCTAGCCCATCCAAAATTCATAAAACCTAAAGGCATCCTGGTATTAGAAAATGGTGAAGTTGGTCTTGGTGCCACGCAGGTTTGTTTAATGCTTTATTCCATAACTTTTCAAAGCTTTAACTTTTTCTTTAGGCTACTTATGGTTTGGTTTGGCTTGTAACTTCCTGGATTCATTTTATGTGCGATATCATGCATTCAATTGTAGGTGAGGTTAAAGCTAGATCATATAAATATTGCGAAATTTGAGCCTGAATTTGGACTAGAGCCAATGTTAGATTTAGCATTGGTTGGGTCTGGATGGCAATTCAGAATTCACGGTCGAGCAAGCAATTGGCAAGAAAACCTTACGGTGACTTTAGCTCACCCTGGGGAACAGGATGCACTCTCATTTATTGAGGTAAAAGATATGATAACTGTTAATATATTAATATGTAAATATTATGCAATTAGCATAGGTGATGGTTGGACATTAGGAGTTTAGCATTTATTACTTTACCCTCTTTTCCTTGTGTATATATAAGCCCTTGTAAACAGATGATAGTGAATATATATTGAATATAGAGAATATTATTCACCCACATGGTATCAAAGCCACTCTTTGCTACTTTTTTCTCTGTCCATTCATCTACACAGTAAAGTGATGGAGGGAGTGAGTTTTAGGGTTTCCATTTTGGGTTGTTTTGAGCGTAACCACCTAGATAGGAAGATCCTCCACCTTCCAATTGGTATATCACAAGTCGGCACGTGAGGGCATATGTCACAGTGTTTCTGGCAGCTATCTTCTCTGTCATAGTCGACTCCTCATTTCTAGCTATCTACTGGTGGTTTAGGCCTAGGTCTTTGAGTTCAGCCTTGTGTTGCTCTCGTAAGGCCTCTATTTCACTATTATTCAAACAGAAGGACATTATGAGTTTCTGGTATATCCTATTATTCAAACACTTGCTCCAGCGCCAGCTCATCCACTTGTTCATGTTTACACCAAACGTTCTAAGGAAGCTACTTCCGCCAGTTCACCTACAAACCCTCCAGTATCTACTTTGTCGTATGATCCTGTATTGAGCAACTCGGAGAGTTATCCTATACTTAGCCTAATAATGACCTTGAGAGTATCACTAATCTTGATCTACTGATCAAACTTCACAAAGCTAAAAGTACTTGTACTTATCCCATTTCCACTTTTGTTTCCTATGATCATTTGTCTCCTTCATCTAGATCTCTTGGAATCTTTTAGTTTTTTGCCACATTTCTTGCTTCTCCAAAGGCTCACACTTCCTCATATCTCCATGTTAACCTATAAAAGACACAAGATCACACATCACTTCACCAAAACAACTAAACTACAAAGGAAAAATCAAAAGATAAGGTTTAGAGCTTGGGTTGCCTCCCAAGTAGCACTTTGCTTATAGTCCTCTAGCCTGACTCTTCAACACAAATACTAATCATAGGTATCAAAGACTAATATCACATTGTCCTCATTTCTCTTCATATGACAAGGCTTCAACAAGAATGGGCATTCATCATATGTTCCCTTAATCAAAGTTGATTTCAAGGTACATGATTTAAGAAGACCATTGATAGGCTCTAATGCAATTTTTTCACAAATATCATTCAAGACCCCCCAAGTATTTTGAACACCCAATGAAATTCACTTGACTCTTATTAGTAAGAGTCAAAACATCTTTAGAAGGATCAAGTATATAAACTCTTAGAATTTTCTCTCTTTTCTTTTCTTCAAAATCTAATAGATAAAGGCTTCACAATTGAAGCATCAACCAAACACTCTTTGTTCCCTTCCTCATTAGCTTCCAACTCACAATTACACTCAAAATCATCGCTAGCTATTGGAAACACTTGTATACACCTCACGGTCATTTGTTCACTTGAGTCCTTATCTTTTATAGAAGGATCATTCGATATATCATTAAAAAAACCTTGTTGAATCAAAGAGTCAAAGGTAGAAGCCATTTTACTTACTTGGAGTGTTAAATTTTGAAGAGCCAATGCATGTTCATTAATTTTCTTTTCTTGCCAAGCTCTCATTTCATTTTGATTATCTAGGATACGTTGAAGCACATCCTCTATTGTTGACTTCTCCTTATGAATGTGGGTGCTTTCATCTACATGAGTATTGTGTGGTGTATGAGGATGTAATGCATATGAGTAAAGAGAATGAGTAAAATCCCAAGACAATGTTTGTTCATGACTCCATCTAGGGTCAAGAGTATTATCATGGAAGGTAGTTTGGGCCCTAATGTTATCTTCCTTTATATAATTCAAAGGTAAGACATAGGGGCATTGCTCATTATAGCGACCATCCCTACAATAATTACAACCAATATAATCAAATTGGGATTCACAAGCATTAGTGGCATAGCTAGAATTTATATGAACATCATACTCATATCCTTCACTTGCCCCATTAGTCCATCAAGAATAATCCATACACCAAGAGAACAAAAACACAAACTAATTCTTGGTGCAAGGAAAGCATAAGACAAATAACAAGAAAACACAAAAAGAACAAATATGACAAGAATACAAGAAAACAACAAGGAAGAAGAGGAAACAAAAACACACAACTAATGAAATTTATAATGTTCAAGCAAAATTTACTATCGCTAGTCTAAGGTTGACCAAAATATTTTCAATGCCAAATCTCGGCAACGGCACCAAAAACTTGTTGCTTACCACAAGTACACGGGTCGTAATAAGTAATATAATGAAAGTAAAGTATTATTCCCTTGAGGATTTGTTTAAAAACAATGATCAAATAAAGGACTAAATGAGCTCAATCAAGTTGAGCGACACATAATTAGGTGAACATGATTTGTTAAAGGAAACAAGAAAATTGGCAACTCGACCATACAAATATCTCATGATTCCTAATCCTAATCTCGATGATGATAAGAGTGCATTAGTTGACAAACCTAAAAGGTACAGAAGATTGATTGGGAAATTGAATTATCTCACGATGAGTTGTCATAGTATTGCTTATCTGGTAAGTGTTCTCAGTCAATCTATGGCCTCACTTACGGCTAATCAGTGGGAAACTTTAGAGCATGTTGTCATGGTCTTGGAACTTCCCTATCCTTAAACCGTGCCGGCTTTAGTATGATCAACCTCTTGATTCTGGCTAAGTCAGCCGAACCCTCAAAATGTAGGTAAAGAAATTAGGAAACTCGAACACAAGAGAGAAGAGAGCTTGGATGAGAGAAATTGATATGCTTGCTTTGCTTGTTCTTTGCAAATGAGGGGTGAAGGGGTATTTATAGACTTCCTCCTTATTCTAGAGTTCTCCCACCTCCTTAATGGAGGTGGAGATCAATCCAATCCTACAGTTTACATTCATCCTCTAAAGTGTTTCATAAAAATATCTACAACAAATATCTAAATATTTACAAGGATGCTTTTGGAGATTAACCTTCAAGATATGTATGGAATATTCTAGAATATTCTAGAATATTCTAGACATCTTCATTCCTCCATAAATTTCTAGAATCTTCTCGAAACTTCTAGATCTTTCTAGATAATTCTAGACTGTTCTAGATGCTTCTAGAACATTCTAGAGCATATTGGATCCTTCTTGGAATTCTCTCCGTTATCCTGGAGGTTTCCAAAAACTCCACAACCGTGCAGGTTCTCTTCTATCTGAACATAGGTTGTGACAATGTTCTGCATTACTTAAAGGGAGCTCCTGGACTAGGGATACTATATAGTAATCATGGGCATGCAGATATTAAGTGTTTCTGCGATGCAGATCTTGGGGGGTCTAAAGCTACTAGACGATCTACTATTGGATATTGTATATCTATGGATGGAAGTTTGGTGTCCTGCAGAAGCAAGAAGCAAGATGTGGTATCCCGGTCTAGTGCAAAATCAGAATTCAAAGCCATGGCTCAATCTGCGTGTGGAGTAGTGTGGATATGTTAGTTATTGAAGGAAGTTAGTCTCAAAACCACATTAGTAGCAAAGTTATGGTGTGACAACAAAACAGCACTACATGTAGCATCTAATCCAATGTTCCGTGAGCGTACAAAGCACATCGAGATTGATAATCACTTTGTTCAAGATTAGATTCTAGAAAACTTCATCTCTACTAGACAAGTGCGCAATGGAGAACAACTTGGTGATTTGTTTACAAAAGCTCTTAATGGAGCCTGAGTTAAATATCTTTGTAACAAGTTGGGCATGACCAATATCTACGTTCCAACTTGAGAGGGAGCGGTAAAATATTAAGGTGTAAAATATTATGTAATTAGTATAGGTGTTAGTTGGGAGTTAGGAGTTTTAGCATTTGTAACCCTTTCTCTTTTAACTTGTATATATTCAGTCTCCTATAAACAAATAGTAAGATAATGATAATATATTGAGAGAGTATTTCTTCTCAATATAAATCAACGTGAAATATTCTGTCCAAGATTGGTGCTAATTTTTGATTCCTCCTCGACCCTTTCTTCTGTGTTTCCTTCTTTTTTTATACTTCGAAAAAACTTGTTCTTATCTTGTGTGAGTTGGTCATATGAATCTAGACCTCAAAACACTAATCCCTTGTTCAAAACTAAGCTGAATTAGACATAGGACTATAGTTTCAGGCCGAACAAGATCAGATTCAGGAAGCTGAGTAGGCTTGACAGAATTGTGGCAATCATCCTTAATACGCTAATCACATGCCATGGGGTCTAATTCTCTAAATCATTTTTTATTTCATCGTAATTATTTCTTTGTACTTCTATAAACTCCTTTTATATTATTACTACAATGAGAGTGGATTATGTGCTGACTTTAACAAATTCTCTCTCTCTTGTTCCCGAGAAAAATCAGTGGATTGCATCTCCCAAGCTATAGCGTGTGGAAATTGGACCTCCAATCAACTTTAATTGTTCATGTTCATGCAGGCTGTTAGGAAGCTTGAGAGTCATTTGCCAGAATCCATTATGGGAAAAGACGGTCGGCTTGAAATCAACAAGCTGGCAACTGAAACTCTCAAAAATTTGATGCCAAGAATCGAAGGGAAGGGTGAATACGGGCAAGCAAGGTGGAGAATAGTGTATGCGCCTCAGATCCCTAGTTTGATGTCTGTTGATCCTACAGTGGATCCTCTCAAGTTACTTGCCAATACTATATCCTTCGGTACAGAAGTTGAAGTCCAGCTAGGGAAACGTCTTCAGGTACTCTGATCATGCCATTTTGGTAGCCTTTCTTTTTTAAAATGAACATCATAGTCTTAGTTTCCTTTTTCTCTGGCTTTCACCAAGGAATGTGTCAAATCAAAATTGAAGCTATTTGTATTTTTTTCCCCCAGGCCACAATTGTTAGGCAAATGAAAGAGTCGCAGATGGCAGTGCAGGGGACCCTGAGCTATCAGCTTACAAATCGCTTGAGATTGCTGCTACAATCTGCTCCATCCAAGCGTCTTCTTTTTGAGTATTCTTCTGCTATATAACAGGATTAATTGTTTAGCTTCCATATAGCTTTTTAAAAGAAAGCTACCAATTTAAGTTGAATTACTGCACTTGCCAGTTGGCAGGATGCTGCAGATCGAATAAATTCTATTCTAACTTCAGATTTACGTTCACATATTGTTAAAACAGAGGGGTCATGGGGCCTTTTAGGCATATCAAAAGTAGAGTAGTTGATGATTCTTTTGCTCAGATTGAGCTTGTTGACAGGCAGATAAAAGAATCGATGTGTCTTGAGTGCAGTGTCTTAATTTTGTACAGAAACTCATTTTAATGAAAGGAAATATAGTTTTTGTAGATATTGATGTTAGATGAAGTTAAGCTCTGGGCGACAAACAGTTCCAGTGTTAATGGATGTTTTCGCTTTAGCTTTTTTTCAATATAAAGCAGTGTAAATTAGTGGATTAAGTGGATTTTTTTAAGTGATGCTGAAATTGACGTGTGTGGTGAATGCAATACCTACAAACACTCTTATTGTTACCATTTTAAGGGTATTTCACATGATTTCGTACACCATTGGAGTCATTCTTGGAGCGAAAAGGCGAATGAGGGAGAGATCAACAGAAAAATACAATTCCCGTCAATCAATTTTCATTTTATCTTTTCCTTCACTTTTGATTTGATGTTTTGATGTTGAACTATGTTTATTGCTTAAATAATCAGTTGCTAAATCCCCAAGTTGGGCTACTTTAAAGAGTACAAATTTGAATGGTTTATGACCCTTGGGGATTGAGTAATGAAAATAGATTAAAGTCCCGTCTTTTATTATTTTCGTTGCATGTATTGTTAACCATATGATTGGCCTTTAAATAGTCAGGCTTAAGATGCCGTGATGGATCAGACGATGAAATTAAGTTAGAGAATGGAGGCATTATCCTCCATAGAGATTAATCCATGTTATGCGTCATCAATGCAAGATATTTTATTGTTAACTCTGAACTGTGTAGTGTCCTCTCTAAACTATTGCTAGTCCTGGTACTTGTCAAAAAAAATTCATAGAAGAATCTCAATAAAGCATTGTGTAGTCTCCTAACCTTCTTTGATCCTTTCTTTTTTTGCCCCCTGATTTAAAGGAATAGGCACCAACGGCCTGAAATTACAAGTAAAATGAGTATGCAACCTCTCATTTACAAGAACTTTCATACCTCTAAATTACAAGGCCATTGGGATTTCATTGTTTATGTGTGAATAAATAATACAGGAGGCATGTGTAGAAACAAGGATTATAAACATAGTTGGTGAGCCCTGATGGCCGAAAGGAATAAAAGATTACTTTCCCAAATAAAGGGAACTGAAAACAAAACGATAGTAACCCCGATCTTGTCTGTCTTATTTATTTACTATGGCATAAGTAGAAGACTTATTTCAAATTACATGTATGATAAAGCATAAATGCTCTTCCAAAAACGAGAATTTCAACAATAGAAGTGGATTTATTATGATATGGCCGGACCCACTCAACAAACGCCAACATGGTGGTCAAAAAAGCATTAGTTTGACCCCTGGTTCGTCAAACAAGGCCGGATCGGCCATTGACATTTTTTCACTGAAATAAAATTATGAAAACAGCGAAAGATTTACAAATCAAGTCCCTATAGACACTAGTGTTCCTTTCACCATCCACCCCCCTAATGCAAGGTGGTGGATGATTAAAAGTACAAAAATTAACAAATGAACAACGCAACATGAATCCTGTTCCAACGTTAAACAAGATTTGCAGGAGCCTTTGAAGGGCGTTCCAGTAAAAGCAAGGATCGGCTTCAAGCAAAATTATGTCCAATTTTAATCCCAAAAAAAAAAAAAACAGACAAACCTACAGTCTGCAAAATTAAAAAGAAAAACATGTAATCATCTTACGTTTGCTATGAAACTACTGATTCTACAGGAACATCTTGAAAGGATTTATGATTACAAGGCTACATACATCAAGGAACAAATACAAAATGTTAAATAAATAAAATGACCATTAAGAAACTAGAAGCCCCTACTCCTAGGAACATTTTGATGCCAGGAACGACCCTGCGCAAGAGAATAAGTGTGGCCTCTCTGAGGAGGAGGAACTAACGCAGGCCTAGAATTGGGTTGGTCTGGCGTCATACCCATTGGGGCTTGCACAAATGACTGGGAAATGCCATATGAATGATTCAACATCTGAGATCGTGGCTGAAGGTTGTGCATGGACTGTTGAGGGTGGAACTGAGCCTGGGACGTTTGGGGCTGCCATTCAGGTATATCGTCATCCTCGTCATTCCAGGGCTGAATTGTCGCCCCAAACTTATCATGCCAGCTTCCTGAAGCAGCATTCACCTGGCTTTGACCATACTTTTGTACAAGTTCCCTCATTTGTTCCACAGGGCGTGATGTTTGGTTAATCGTGTGGAATGGGGGAGCAACTGGTCGCATAAAAGGTTTTTGGACCAAGTGTGATAGATCTGAACGGCCGGAGAAATTGAACTCCGGAAGGTCATCCTCGTCTCGGGCTGCTGCTGGCCCGAAACCAGGAGGAATATCATCATCAGATGGGGGTCCAGTCCGTGTGTCTGCAAAGCCCATAGGGGGCTCTGCTTTAGGGGCGAGATTGGCATTTACATTTGTATCTTGCTGTCTCCTAGTAGATGTAGATAAATACTGCTTTTTAGAGCTATGTTTGTGGTGCGATGAAGTGGGTGATATTGTGGAAGTTGAATGAGTCTTTCTCCATACATTAATACCAATTAAGCCATAATCAATATAATTAACTGCCTCAATTTGTTCCATTGGAAGTATCTTGCTGAGCATTTCAACTGTTTTTTTATGAGGTGGGCAAAAGTAAAGTTCAACTCCAGGCACAGGCTCAGCAAAACCCACTCTCTCGTCCAAAATGTATGAATCCGCAACCTGCACACGGAAACATCAAATATCAGTAACATACGTAGTTGACGGTGGATGAGACACAATCTTAAAGATTATAACCTCACGAAGGATTGGTTTCTCATCTTCGGGACACTCCTCCTTGGAAACAAAATGCAAAACCTGCAATAAAAAATTTAAGAGAGAACTGTGAATAATTCACCAAAAAAAAGGACGGACGCTAACAAGAGGAAACTTAAATTCAAGTCCTCAAACGTAGTCATGATAAGCTTCGCTAAAAATGCTCGATTTTATAACAAATTGATTAGCAATATGGTTTAATAACCACAAAATTTCACTTTCTTTATCTACCACAAATGCTTCTGTCTGTATTACTTTACCAAATAGAACATGATGTCATCACACAGCCACCAGCCACTTCACTGCCTCCTTCATATATTCTCTCAACAAGGGGAAACAGAAAAAAAAAAAAAATCACATAACTCATAAGGCTACAATACAACTAACAGGAGAAGAAAGAATAAGCTTCCAAGTGTAATAGGAGATGCTACTTTTTATCTAACTAGTGCGCGTGAAGATTGTTCTCTTTTCCTTTCTTTTCCCTTTCTTTTTTTCTTTCTTTTTTTTTTTTGGGTGGGGGGCGGCAGGGGGTTCATTGCTCCTTTCTACAAGCATGGTCCGCTAAACAAATAACGCAGAAATTCAAGGAACTTAAGATACCATGATGGCTCGAGTTCTGGACATAGGAAGCTCTTGCAGAAACTTTTCAAATGCATCGAGTCTAACCCTTCCTTTAATCTCCAGAAAGCCAGGCCAGTCTTTCATAGAAGTTTTCTCACCACTGCACAGGATATATCAGATCAGCAAGCAAATCAAATAATATCAATTCCCTTCAGATAGGTATAAAAGTGGTTGCAAAATAATTTAGCCAAAAAAGCAAAGCAAAACTGGTGTAGGATCATTGCAAATAACCCAAACCAATATCAATATCAATATCAATATAAAATATTACAGGGAACCACATTATTCACAAGCCATTAACAATATGGCTTCTCTCAAACAATGACAACAAACCTCATCCCAGTATGTGGGGTCAGAATATGGCTTCTCTCAAAATTCAAGCAGATTTTTTTATTCTATTAATTTTTCTCCACGTTTCATTGGGCTCCATACTACCTTTTTCCTGAGATATTTCTCTAAATATTTCAATAGGGTTTAACTATTAGAAAGATAAATACAATTTTCAATAAATCTTGAATCATTATCATTATCTTTCTTGTGCATCAAACATAGTGTTCTTGTGTGCATTACAAACTGCACTGTTCACATGCCATAAACGATAACGTTCATTGGACACCATGTAAATACACGGGAAAATTTGTCCAATTACGTCCATATTCCTCAATTCATTATTCAAAGCACAAAAAAGGCAATCCTGTGCTTTTCCAAACAAAAGAGAGGAGGAGAATGTGGAAACAAGCACTCCATCCAACTGAAGCACCTAGTTCTAAGTCTCCCAACTTTTTAGAACAATTCCAGAGAAACATTTAAGTACTAAATATTTGACACTTCCCAATGCATCCAAAAGCCTTCAAAATACAATAAGCCAAGATGATTACACAAAAGTTAACATGCCTACTCACAATAGCTACAGGTAGAAATAGTTATATTAATAAACAATATGATAATTTTCTAGGGGTGACTAACTTTCGTCACTGCTAAAGCCTATCAGACATTTGCCAGGACAAGCTGCCAAAGAGCCTAATACTGCGTCAAAGGAAGCAAACATGGAAAACCAGTCAGCTGGATGGATGACTTTTACAGGCAATATGAAAATAAGCCCAATCATTAATTGATGTACTACAGAAGCCATGAATATGCTGTTCATAGGAATCATAATCTTGATGTATTGGCCATTGAGTATCCCCCCCCCCCAAAAACCAGCTAAAGCAAGCCTTGTGCAATAGGAAACAGTTAAGACTAGCAAAGCAGAACCAGATAGGCATGTGAGAGCAAGTCTAAATTAAGTTATAGTTAATTGGCCTGAAGTTCAACTGACAGTTGAAATTTGACAAGGATAGAAGGACAAGGCATCACATGGAAAAGGGACGACAAAATCTAAGCAAAATTACATTCAGTGCTAAGCTTAAACAAATATATTTATAGGCAGAAGTCAAAAAAAAGCGTGGATGTATAACAATAATAAATTAATAATAAAAATGAAGACATAATGGACTCATAGCTTCCATAACATTCATGACCTTTTCTTTCCAAGAGTACAAAGTTGTTCTACTTTTAGTAACAGGGTTCAAAATCTAACAACCTATCCAATAACAACTGATCAGATGTGTCTCCTCATTCCAACATATACTAGATGAAAAGAAACTACTGAAGGAAAACAAGCAAATCTAAATATAATCTTGCACAAAAGTTCACAAAGTAACAAACAGTAATGAGCTTAAATGCTTTGTATACTACCTTTTAAAGACGCTTATAACTGAATGCGTGGTCGAAATATTCAGCTGAAGCATGCCCTGCCAAGTGAATTCACTCTTGGATATAATAGTTGAAACTGCAGTCTTGGAATGCACTTGACTGGCACCAGATTTCTCTTCACCAAGAAACTGACTCGTTTTCAACTCAACAAGAGTGGACGTAGATTTCTTGTTTGCAGTCAACCTTATCTCAGGATGAGCATCACTTGGCTTCACGCCAGCATGACTCTGACTGCTCCTTGCATCAACCTCTTTTTCTAGGACTGCATCCACACTAGAACATGCTTTATGATCTCGATCAGATTTCTTAGGGGCACTACCAGTATCACCACTTCTTGGGGTCAAATCAGAAGACTTCGGAACAGTGCCAACCACAGGATGATCCTTCTCTGCGGTTGGTGCCACTTTTCCAGGTTCAACAACTGAATTTTCAACAGATAACTTAGAATGCTGGGATTCCATGAACTCATCAAGAGAGACAATTGGAGGAAGGAAGTCTGCATCCTTTAATGCATCATCCGCAATAAGCCCTTGTGTAACAGTCCCATCACTGGAAGGAACAGAAACAGTTAACAAATTTTCTTTTTTTAAATTACTCTTTCCAGCATCAGCGCTCACATCATGTTTGATCCCATTTTCTTTAGAAGGGGGCCCTTCCACATCCTTCCTTTCTGTCTGATTTCGAGAAACCAATGTTTTACCACCAGACACCTCTACTGAGAGGTTGTCTTCATGTTCAACTTCCACTTGAAATTCCCCCTTATGTGTTTTCTTGACCAATCGCCTAATATCAACATCTGAATCAGGTAAAACCACCATTTGAGCAAACTCCTCAGCTTTAGCTATCCGCCACTGAGAAAGTTCCTTTGAAGCAAGCTCCTCTGCAGTCATGGAACATAAGCGCTCAGGGGGAATCTCACCAGACATAACCCTTTCTCTCAATTCAGGATTATTACGGTCTTTCAAGTTGAATAAAAGCGACCTCCCCTTCTCTTTGTACTTCTTATTCACACCTCCAAATAGTTTGAATAGTTCTGATTCTATCTCTGATGCCAAAAATTCAGGTGAGTTAATAATTTGTGTCCTAACACTACTGCCTACATCATCAGCTTCCAATCTCTGGTCCTCATTTGTTTGGATTTCCTCTTCGATGGACATGTCCACCATATCAGAGTCCAATACCCAAGAAAGACCATTTCCCTGCAGAAGCTCATCTTTGACAAAAAAGGTGTCACTGAAGGGAACATCATCAGTTGTCAAAGTGTAACTTGACTGGAAGTCTTGCTTATCACAGTTTGACACATGGGGAAAATTCAACGTCTTTGTGATCCAATTTCATTTTGCATGTATTTTTCAGGATAAATTTCACTGGAGGCAGAAGCCTGTGGGTGATCTTTGGTTATATTGTCAAATGAATCAATAACTGCAGAATAGGACTCAACAGATCGAGAAACCTCCTGCGTTTGCCCCTGAGCAGCATCATTGGCAAAAGAAGAACACTGAGAACTATTATCTAGATTAATCTGGGAATTACCAGTCTCATTTGATGTGTTATTCTTTTCATCCTGAAGTCTACTGCGCTGAGAAACCACGGCCAGAGCAGCAGCTAATGACTCCCTCATCTTGGACCTAATTGATTCTGATGATTCAGTTTGACTCTTGGATGATTGTTGCACCTGAGCATTCTGACTTCTAGAACTTAAAGACCTGGGTGTCCCCAATTTACTGGATTCCGTTGACCGCGGTGTCCCCAATTTACTGGATTCCATCTGTGTTTTTCTCTTACTAGATGCTGGCAGATTCTGCAGCCCAGGGGCATTTGGCAGAGGATGCATCAGCACAGAACCTTTATGTGAATTATTAGGCACATGCTGTAACCAAGGTCTATCCATTTGAGCAGCACGCTTATTAGATGTCACTGAGCTAACAGACAATGGTTCTGTAGCCGCCTTTCGCTTGGGCATTGTTGACAGCTGCTTTGGCCCCATACTGTTCAGCCTCATCTCCGTTTGCATAGATTGTTCAATGGGTGCAATGAGCTGATGCATGCCTGGAATACGTGCATGTGAATCTATCTGCCCACTCTGCACTATTGGCAGTGACAATCCCTGCGATCCAGGATCACCAGGAATGGCTCTCAATAATCCAACACAATTATCCGGTGTTTCCTGATGCTGAGACATAGAGTTACTGGATCCAGGGCCTACAAGTCCAATCTGTGAGTCTCTCCCTAATGAGTCAACTTGGCTCACAATGGGATCCAGCTGACTCATTTGCATGCTTGAAATTGGCAACTGATGTGAAATCAAGTTGTTTGACATTCTAAGGTAACAGTCTTACCAGTAGAACACATATGCAGGGTGACCCAAGATTATTTCCTGACCTGAAACAACTCATAGTATGTTATCAGCCTCATCTTCAAGATTTATCATAATGCATAATAATCTGTATCATATGGAAAAGTAATTGACTCATACTGAATACTTTAACAGAAAACAATGCAAAGAATCAGCAAACCAGCCAAAGCTCATTCAGCAAATCATGCATATACATTCAGGAGGGGGGAATCGTCTAATACTGACTGTTTTAAAACGAAGCAACGGAAATTACCACACAAACCAGCCCATAGCTGAGTTGAAATTAAATTAAAATCCCGCCTGGACTAAAAGCAAGGAGAATGACGCCTACTAATTATTCCACAAATCGATCTTTGTATAGGGCACCAAAAAATCCATAGGCACGCCACACAAAGAATGTTCAATAATCATACACATCAATGAATTCATCAATAGCATTACAGAGCTAAACAGCGTTAATTCTAATACCTAAAATATTAAGTGCATGCCAGAGGAAAAAGATGCAGATAAGATGGGAGCACGACTGACGAGAGTAGATTTTTTTACTAAGCCTTTATTATTTCGTTAAATTGCAGTATACAGTGTTAGGCTGCTCAATTTGTAACCGGCGAATTTTGTGTCAAGAAAGAACAATCGAAAAGCATTTAGACGCAACTAAAACCACCAACTCGTATTTACAACATAGAACCACAAATATTTAGAAATCCGAATCAAGGCAAAGAATTCAAAGAAACAACGCAAAATCGTATTAACTATTGATATTATCGGGGACGCCACACATCGCCTTTCACACGAAAAATTCGATAGGGACATACCGACTAGTACCTCGAGGAGAGTCACGATATCCGAGATATAGCTGAATAGCCAAACCTGAAGTGAAGCTGAGCAATAAAGCTTCAACTAAGAAACGAGCTTCCGTGGCCTTCTCCGGACGAAATTGCATCCATAAACCCTAACTTGAACGGATAACATTAACTATAATCGAATCACAGCAGAAGAGCGCAGAGCTATCTAGAGAGCCACGTAGGCTGCCTGACACGTGGAGGGGGTCATTTGCATCCGGAATTTTTTCTCGCTGAATTACGTCAATTTTTAATTTTTAACTTACTTTAAAAAATATTAAAAAAAATCATAAAATATATAAATGATAATAAAGTTTTATAAAATGAGATATTATTTTCTCAAGTTTTTTAAAACCTTTTTAACATTGCTTTTTTTATAAAATAATTATAATGCCCCCAATTTAAAATAATAAATGGCTAGACAGAAATTTATTTTTTTCTTTATTTAAAAATGTAAGGTATTTTTGTAACATCCTGATTTTAAAAAAAATGATAATAATAGGAATTTATATTATTTGAAATTATTCAGAAATAATAATATGGTTAAAAATTTAATTATGAATTAAAAACTTAGGTTTAAAATTATATAAAAAATATTTTGTTAAGATATAATTTTAAGATTTAAAATAAATAAAAAAAATTATGTGTGTGTGAGTTAAAAAAAAAGGGAGGGGCACTGTAGAAGTTCCACATCGATTAGATGTGGGAAGGTGAAGTGCCTCCTCACATATAAAAGGAGGAGGCACAGGCGAGGAGACACAGAAGGAAGTAAAAAAAAAATATTTTTGCAATTTGTGAAAATTGTAACTAATGGTTCAAGGTACAATTTGTGAAAATTATAAGTAATGACCCAAAAGTTTAAATGATTAAATTCAGATCTATAGCTTTTTTTTAATATAATTGTGGAACCTAAAATCTTATTTTTATATTATTTTTCTCTCTTCCTCTCTCGTTGCTTGGCGTCTTCTCGTAAGGAGGGATTATTTTCTTTTTCTTTAGGTATGTTCTAATTTTCTTATTTAGATTAGCAATTAAAAAATTATTTAAGTACAAAATTAATTTTATAGTTATTTTCTAAATAATATTAGCTTTCTATTGATATGATTATTTTGTAAAATAAAGTAAATATTCTGATTAGAATTTTTCTATAGGATAGTTAATATGATGATATGATGGATTAAAAATATAAGTTAAAGCTCTTAGGGATGTAATAAATATTATAGAATATTATCTTAAGGTTAAAACTCATTTTTAAGAATTTTTGAGTTAAGCTCTAGATCTATATGTTGAATTTATGTTGAATATGAGATGTAGGGATGAACCTCTAATTATTAAATATTTATTTAAGTATGAATAGGTATTTTTGAGGTTATAGAAAGTTGATTTGAGGCCTCAGGATAATTTTAAAATTTTTAATGTATTTTTGAACGAATTTTTAGAATATAAATGGATGAAATTATGATACTAGAAGTGATTTGAGGCTTAAAAATAGTTTATTAGGGTACAAGAATTTTAAAAAAGAACTTAAAAATTAAATGAGGCATAAATCTTAAATTAGGGTCAATATGAATTTTAGATTTAAGACTTTCTAACTCTTTAAATTAGAGTTATTTATTTTAATGTAAAATTAATATATAGTATTGTGAAATAATTATGTAGATTATATTGACAAGGATAGTGGTGAAAGAGGAGTTGTGAAGGGAAACTTGTTATTCAAGACACAAGGTAACCATTATTAATGTGTTGTGATGGGTGTGTTTGTGAATGGTTATGTGTTGTTTTATTGTTTGAAAAAAATATGAATTATTAAAAATAAATACTGTATATACTTGTTTGAAATTATTGCCAAGTGGGTTAAAAATTTATTTTTGTTTATCATGATGAGATATTATTGTTCAAATATATTTCTGTTTGGATATTTGAATGATGCATGACTTGTCAGGGTATTTTAATGTATGGTGTTAATGAAAATTTCTGTTCGGTTAATTATTACCATGTGGTAAGCCCTCATTGGACCCAATGAGTGACGTGTCGCTTGATTCAACTCACCTTTGGCTGGGTGATTTGGCGTCCGAGCATGACGAAAGGAGGATATAAGGTGCAGTCATGCAAATTAAAAACTTGTTCGGTCTGTTTGAAAATATTGTTCGGTTAAATGTTTTATGTATCCACCTAGCAATCGCATGATTAGTTACAACCGCATACATTATTACATATTAATTTTTGATTACTGGGACTTTTAAGTCTCATTCCCCGTAGTTAATATTTTTACAGGAGCGAGTCTGCCCGAGAAAGCATCAGAGGTGTAACTATGGTGTATGAGACACAATCTTTTACGTTGCCTCTTATTTTAAATTATACAATGTATCTTGTGCCAACCTAAGATATTTCTTATTTTGACAACATGTAAACTCTAATCCTTTTTATTAAATGCAATTATATGACCAAGAAGATTATGTTTGTCCCTCTTGATTCATGACTTAATTTAAATATCGTGCCATGAGGATCCTGTCTGTCCCTTATGGTTCTAATTGCTTTTTGAAATATTTTGAGACCTGTGGTATATTGTCTTAGATGTATCATGGTATAAATTCTTCTATCATGATAAGGGTATGATACGGGTTCAATAAAAAAATGATTTATTAAATTAATAATTTGTGAAAAATCGGTTTGCAAATTTGAAGGTGTTACAATTTTTAACCGAATCTCACTCCCTAATAAAGTAGTTACCTACTTTCAAACTAACTCTATCTTTTTATATCCACCCCTTTTTTTTAACTGAAATATATCCACCCCTATTAAACACTCTATAATAAATATAAAGTCATTATCAATAAGAGTACTTTTAAAAAAAGGCAATGATTATACCTCAAAAGACTAAAAGTCTTATATTTTTAAACATCTAACTCCTTAAAAAATACCTTACATTTTTAAACGAAGGGAGTATTTTCTATCCCATTTTAGTTATTATTAAAAAAAATAATCATTACTTAAACAAAAATAATCATTTATATTTATAACACCGGAACTTTAATGAAAATTTTGTAAGAAAAAAGTTGTAATTACTTGTTTTATTTTAATTATTATTAGAAGAAAATTAATTATTATTTAAATTAAAATAATCATTAATATTTATAATACTTGAATTTCAGTTATTAAAAATTTGTAAGGTAAAATTTGTTGTTTTCTATTTTATTTTAATTATTTAAAAAATAATTATTAGAATTCAGTACAAAAATTGGTGTGGGTTCAGCACGTATTTACAAGTTCTCCCTCAAGACCCTGTTTGATAAAGAGTACTGAATTTTAAAAGTTTGGAAATAAGATTGAGATTGAGATTGGGCATGTGAACGGGCAATTAACGTTATTAGCTTTTTCACTTTAATCCTCACTAGAACTAAAATTTAGCAATGAAGTCAAGCCTCACCCAATATTTTAGGCCCTTCCCTGTTTTTGGAAAAAATAGCATTTAGGACTGCATTTAAAACCTAATACATTTTGAAATTATCCTCCATATTCAAGGTCCTTTTTGTAAATATATTTTAGGGATCAAAACACAATCGTCCTTAGTGGGAAAAAAAGAACTTTAGGTTTACCACTAATGAACAATTATTTATTAACATGTGAACTTAAAATTATAAATTTATGAACATCTAGTTGTAAAAATTTGAACCCGTAGTCATGATGAATCTTAATTCAAAATATATGAGGTCTTAAATTATGAATTTTGACTTGTGAATAAATAAACCTAAATTTATGAAAATGTGAATTTTAAGTTGTAAATTTATGAAATTCATCATGACAAACTTGCAACTCTAGACAAGAACTTCATTATCAATGGGCAATTAATTAACATGGAAACCTAACGTTACAAATTTGTGAACATGTATTTGTAAAAATCTGAACTTATTATCACAATGAACATCAATTTAAAATATATGAAATCATAAATTATAAACTCTCAATTGTGAATAAATGAACACATATTTATAAATATTCGAACCTTAAATTGTAAATTTGTGAACTTGATCAATACAAACTTGCTAATTCTAAACAAGAATTTCACTACCAATAAACAATTAATGCTTATTAATATCTCATCATAAAGTTGTGAGTATATAAACATTATAAGGGCAATTGTATCTCTTTTTTCTAAAACATATTTGCGAAAAAGCCTAGGCTTGCAGAATAATTTTAAAATGCACTAGGCTTTAAGTGTAATTTTTTTCTGCTCTAGGTGCCCTAGGTGCAATTGTCCCTTTTTGGGGAGAGATGGTTCGAATAAAAATTCTTAGTTTGTTGTCCTCTAGTTCATAAAAAGTTATTTTCATTTAAAAAATTAAAATAGATTAAGAGAATACTTTTAAAAAAACACACATTTTTAATAATTTTTTAATAGCAATATATATTTTTCAGTGAAATTATAATATGTATGACTACATTAAAATTATTAGGAAAGGATACACTATATGTGTTTCGTTACATATATAGCGTAACTTTTAAAGACAATTAGCAAGGACAATGGAGAATATAAGGAATAGTTCATATCAATTTTTTAAAATTTAAACTAATTTCATGATTAAAAAAATTAATAAACTTGTTAATATTTTTTTTACTTGAAGTATATATATTTTCTTTTTTTTTTTGTCATAAGTATATATATTATCTTGCTTCATATAATATAAACGAAGTAGTGGTGACTCCCATTCCCGTATCATAACAATGACTGAAAAAATAATGCATGCCAGGCTTGAAACTAAATATCAAAAGATTCCATATCGTAATGATCAATATATGTTAGAAATAATAAAATCAACCATTTACTTAGATTTTTTTTTAAGATTTGTAATTGCATAATTATTCTTCTCTGAAAATTATAAAACTTTTAAAGATCACATTACTTTTTATTAAAAATATAGTTTTGTTAATAAAGTACATCTCATAAATGTTATTTTTTTCTTACGTTAAAAGCTATTAATTTATTTTTAGTTCTTATTGAAGTCATAGCACTGCTTATGTTCCCAATTGCCATGGCCTTTTTGGTCTGCTTCAAGTCGTTGAATTTATTTATTAAAAAAGCAAAACAAAACAAAACGTCTTCCGTACGTAACGGACAGATGCTTGTGAATACATAGCACTTCTGTACATGCCTTCACTTCACCCACCAAGAACAATGAATTAATGAAATCTCGCAGAAATGAACATCCCAATTAATAAAAACTACAGCTTAAAGAAATTCCGATCCATCGGCAAACTGTAATGCCTAGCTATAGTATGCAACACGAATTTGCACCTGGTTAACTCCAACCAGCCAACTTAGGGGGAAATATCAACAAATTAAAATGGAAAGGATGAACTCAGAAATCAACCATCCTTCCGGAAAGGAAGAAGGGGGGGGGGCCTTGGGGGGTAACTTTTTGCAAGAGTAGAATCGTTCGAAGAAGAAAACTTTAGCACTTTTAACTCATTCAAAAATGCATTTTTTTTTTCAATCAAATAAAAATAGGTGGATTTTAAATTTAAAAATAAATTAAAAAAATATTGACGAGGAGAGTCAATGATAGGGTAAATAAAGTGTAAAGTGAAAAAATAATCCACCTATCTTAATTTGATTGAAAAAGAGTATGTTCGATATATAAGTTTAAGCAGGAAAATTTTTTCCTCCTTCTACGTACATGTATACGCGAGGAACTATACATTTTCAACTCATTGGCCTCCATCTTCTACGGAGCCTAATTATCCTCATGTGTTCTAAATCTCAACCAACCTCACCCTTTGTAGAGAGGAAGGAACTATATATTTTCAACTCGCTGGCCTGCATCTTCTACGAAGCCTGATGATCCTCTTGCATCCTCGACCTCACCGACCTCACCCTTGCAAAGAGGGCATAACGCATTTATCTTCAACCACTTGTCCACACAGTCTTTGTGAAAAAGATGAGAACAAGCCAATTCTCTCAACTCATCGTTGTCTTCATACATTGTCAAGCAGATGCAGCAAGCCTGCCCATAACCATCATACAATCACCAACAAAGCCATGGCCAGGCTAACAGCCAAACTTATCCAACAAAAGAAATTAAATAACGGAAGTCCTGGTTAAAATGAGAATGGAAAACTGTGATGCAGGATCATTTTAATGGCTTTGGCTGCGCAAGTTGATAATTTTAAGATTCCGTGATAGAAACTTGATAGCATAGGATACTAACTTCCATTTTGAATAGTGTGGGATGCTCAATAGAGTATTTATGTTGATTGATTTTCTCACCACAATCACTAACTTCTGAAGTAAGGTTTCCTATCTGACTTAGGTATCTATCAATTGGTATCAAGGTTAAGTTATTGGAGGTCCCAAAGCGGAGGTTTTGGCCAACAAGAGGCTGAATTAAGCCTCATGGAGTGCAACCGTTGAGACGTTAGTTCTCACAACTCAACAACTAATTATTGGAATAATGATTGTCATCCACATAGGTACCTATCATTCTGAAATAGCCATCAACTGAAAGCTAGGAGCTCGCAATCTGAGCTCCCTGACAATATATAGATTAATATTCATTGATTACTTGAATTCCAGAAAAATAGGAGATAATATAGTAAAAAGTTGCCCGGCCAAAGAAAATAACACAAATAGGGCTTTTTAAGATGTTTTCATTAACCATGAAACTAAGATCACAAAAGAAAAAAATCTGGTATCAACTAACTAAAAGAAAGCGGGTGATCGAAAATTTTGCACTGTAATTTTTAAAAGAGGTTCAAGATGAGACAGAAAACACTATATTTAATCAAACCTTTATTAATTGATTGCATGGATGCTATGTCTATGACAGAGAGCTCTCGAGATACAGGAACAGTAATCACAAGAAGCTGCAATGTGATTATGATGCATTAATAAGGGCAGTGAACTACAATCTACAAACCTAAAATGGTTCCTTCCGTAAACAAGAGTAACGAAAATGCGTTAGATGCATCTTTCTAATGACAACGATAACAAGCCTAAGCGCATGTTTGGATTACCCTTTAACTGAGGTTTGAGGGGACTCCAACCTCAATTAAGGATAAAAAAGCTCATTAGAGGACTTCAAATTTTGTTTGGACACAATGAAAAGAGCTTTTAAAAAGAACATGCGTTAAAACTGAAACCGAAAAAAGAAGTTTATAAAGTAACGCTCGTTGAAAAAAGTGAAGTCCGCATTTGATATTTTTAAATTTTATGAGGCTTTTCTCTCTCTTATCCTCGCCCTCTCCAATTTGGCTCGTGACAGGCGTGAAGCTTCCCTGATCTCTCATCTATCATCTCTCATCATAAAATATTCATAATAAAAACAATAATAAATTAATGCATTAACATCAGTAAAATCAATACATATATATTAATGCCTAATAAAAAAATAATCAAAAAATCATAATTTTATAAGTTAGTAGCAATGTAATTTATTTTTTTAAAATCCAGGCAACATATTTATAAAATTTAAGTTTTTTAATCTATCAAATTATTTTAAATTGTTCAATTCTACCATTTAAAAATAAAACTGTAATTGAATATTTAATATTTTTTTCTAAAAATATCAAATTAGTCACAAAAATATTTGCCAAAAAATTCATATCTTTTTTGTCATTATAATAATAGATTTTGTTAAATGAATATTTTGAATTTTATAATTTAATTCCACCTTTTTAAAAATTAAGATTTTTGATTTATCATTGTATTTTATATTTCTAATCTATTTTTAAAAAATTGTAATTTTTAAGTTTAATATTTTTTAAAAAAAATATCAAATTAGTAACAAAAATATATATAAGAAAAATCATGTTGGTTTTTGTCATTCTACATCTTAACAGGCTTTTGAATCAAATCATTCAAACAACTTTCAGTATGCTCAACTAGCTTCTAAAAAAAAAAGTACCCAAGCATAAATCACATCATAATCACAAACTTTTTTTCTAACCTCAATTGATTCTCAAACTCAGTTACAGATTTTTAAATCCAAACACATACTAAATCCATTAAGTGAGGTTGGTTACATGGATCACATAATGCCATTATACTCTGTTAATAGCTAACTCTCTTTTTTTAGCAAATATCACTAACTCTTAGATACATGTTTTTCTATGGGGGGAAAATTTTATTGCATTTTCGGCGCCTGGGAATTAGGAAACAAGAAAATTTAGATTGATGAAAGCAAAAATGGTCATAGTATAAGCAGACGAAAAAAAAAAAACTTGGATGTTCTAAACTTGTAATGAAGCATCTAACAAACAAAAAATAAGATGATACTTAACCTACCGCATCCTCTCCAGAGATGAGACGCTCCTTTTCAGTTCCTGCAGCCACAATTCCACCTTCACTAATAGCAGAGTTAGTAGAATTGATTTTACTTTTCATTTTAAACTTGTACGTTGGCAACGCATTAATGGATTCGGTGGTTGCCCCTCTGGTTTGTATCTGATCTTCTCTAAAACCAACTATGGAAATTATACAAGGTAGACAACAACATATTGTCGCACATACAAGGAAGGGCATAGCATAACCGATACAGCTGAAGATGAGAAACACTATAGTTAACCTGCCAAGCAAAGGGAAGAAGATACAATTAGGGGTGTTCAGTCTGAACCCGTCCCGACTGGCCCGATATCGTCCCGATCATATCGGGACGGGTCTTGTCCCGGCCCGAAAATAATCGGGACGGGACTTTACGGGACGGGACAGGAAAGGGGTTCGAAACGGGACGGGACACGAGATTACCATCGGGACGTCCCGTCCCGTCCCGAATATTATATATATTATTTTTTATTTTAAATATATTGATTATATTAATATAATTTATACTTATATTAATTATATCAATTATAATTTTAATACTTACAATTCTTATTTAAAACTAAAGTTTTTTTATATTGATAATTTTAATGGCATGGAGTAAACATGGCGATATCTTTTTTATAATATATTAATTATATTAATATAATTTATTCTTATATCTATCTATTTAATGACTTTTATTTATAACATATTTCTTGCTTATTTTTAGAAGAGTAATTAGCTTAGTACATCTTCATTAAAGTAGAAGAACAATGATTTGATATTGTATTTGACTTGCCTATTGTTGCTAATCTTATAGCATAAAGATCACTTATATTTGTTATTATAATATGTAGTTGTGATTAATATAATTCAATAACTAATTTTAAATTATTGTTATTTATGTGCTTGTGTTGTTTTGATTTTAAACTTAACAAATTATATGATTTAAAATTTTAATGAACGTTATTGTCCAAATCTTTTTTTGACATTATTCTATTTATCGGGACGACGGGACGTCCCGATCTTGTCCCGGTCCCGTCCCGACTCTTAATGGGACGGGACGACTTTCGGGACGGGACGGGATACGGGACCAAAATTCAGTCCCGATCTTTTTTTCGGGACAGGACACGGGACTGGAGTGTCCCGATCTCGTCCCGTCCCATAAACACCCCTAGATACAATTATGGGGATTTAAAAAAAAAAAATAAACAAGCAAAAGGTTAAAAGCCAGCGCTGCTGCAAGAGTTTACCTATACAAGTTAGGAGCTTCATCAGCAGACGATTGTGCCCCATAGATCCATACAATGCCAACAACAAACCACACGGCAAAATAGCAATCCAAGGCCATTTTGAAGTACTCCATTAGTTTCTTCAGTCTGTTTAGCAGGCATGCACATGCAGTTAGCCGCTTCATAAACAAGTTGTAAATTCCCATGTTTATAACCATCAAACAACACATCAAGAACTCAATTGTATAGATAAATAGGCCAAATGGTGGAAAATGCATTCCACTGAAAAAGGTTTCTAGATAAATTATACATAGACGTCTCCATCATAACTTCTTCATAAACCTACCAGATAACTGTAGTGCTTATCATTAGGATTTAGAATAAATAACATAAAGCGGTATCCTTTCATGCTTAAAATCTTCTTGACTTGATGTAACTTTAAATTTGGAGAAAATAGAGTATATTCTGTCAGTTTGTACCAATTAAAACTCAGCTAGAGTTTCCTGTTCCTGCTTATATCATGGACTGTATTGTTCTGGGAAGCAAATTAAATGGTCGCATGAGCCATAGATAACATATTTATTAATCTATAAATAATATAGTCATTGTAAAACTCTTCAAAACTTGAATTTTCTCAGACAAATCACTTACAGTCATCACAAGTTATCCGCTTATTAAAGGATGAACAAATTATATTATTTTCCATTGAGAACATAGTAGTAATGATTGGAGTACAAGCTCAAAGAAATCATTCATTCTCATAGTTGATCAGCTTAAAGGCTTAAGGAAACAATTCCTCAAGGGAAAGGATATGGATGCTGGCAAAATCTCTTGGTAGAATTTATGTAGATCAACTTGGTTATACGAGAGAGAAAGTGCAGTAAAATAATGTCAACATCAGCTCAAAGCCTGTACGACTACAGTGTTCAAATATCTGAATAAGTCCTAGGCTTTCAAACCAATTTCCACAGGAATTAAAGAGAAACTGACAATTTCTAAGTTCTCTTGCGTGGAAGAATTTGTCACCAAAGCTTCCATTCCTATCTGTGTTCTTTGGGGACGTATCAAATTTTGAAGGAAAATCAACCCTAGCCAAGATTTGCAAGGATTGAGTTCCATTGTTCACTAAGATGGTATAAATTCCATGTCTTAACTCAGTTATTTTAGTATATGGGTAAAAATTGGGCAGATTCACATGCCAGAAGCATCAACAACAACAACAAGCCTTTATCCCACTAGGTGGGGTCGGCTACATGGATTGCAAGACGCCATTGTGCTCTATCATTTATCAAGCTTTTAGAATATTATTAATTAAGAGATCGCGCTCAACAACTTCCAAGAGTGTTCTCTTAAGCCTTCCTCTACCTCTCTTAATCGGACTCAAAGTTATATGTTCTACTCTTCTCACTGGTGCCTCCCTTGGTCTTCTTTGTACATGCCCAAACCATCTCAACCGATTTTCTACCATTTTTTCCTCAATAGGTGCCACCCTCACTTTTTCGCATACGTGCTCATTTCGAATTTTATCTTTACGTGTATGTCCGCACATCCATCGTAACATTCTCATCTCTGCTACTCCAACTTTATGCTCTTGCTGTCCCGTTAGATCCCAGCATTCACTACTATATAACATTGCCAGTCTGATAGCAGTGCGATAAAACTTTCCTTTAAGTTTATTAGGCACCTTACATGCCAGAAGCATCAAGCAAGTTCAAATCATGATTACAAGACCGAACTATATAAATTTTCCCCTTCAATTAGCCAATAGCTAAATGTGCAAACCCAAATTGTTTCAGTTTTAGGCAATTAAGGTCCAAGGAAAACCATTTGTAATGCCCTAAATTTTTTTTTTTTTTAAATTTGCAGTTGTAATGATCCTAGAGGACAAGGATTAATTTGGGGTGAGTATTGTTACATGGAAATAATGGTGATTAAGGGAGTTAAGTAAGGGGGTTGGGTTGTTAGGAAACTATACAAACCTGTATTAATGTAAATAGGAGGGTATGCGAATGTTCATGTGTCTAATGTGTTGAATACTAGTATTCATGTTTTTCGTGTATCAAATATAAGGATCAAAAGGCCTTTGATTAAAAGCAATAAATACTCCAAATGACTGAATGCGCATAACATCATTCTTTCAGCTAAATGCTTCAAAATTTGCAAAATAATATCCATATTGCCCTACACTAAAACTACTTTTCTGGCCAGAGCATAGGGAAACGACCATTTACAAAACCTAGTTTCACATTTTTCCCTCTTTATTTAAGCTAGCAAGCTGTTGAAATGGCACCTAAAATCTTGCGCACAAGGCGTAAAGTGTGATTCTAACATTAAAAGGAATACAGGGAAAACCATTTTATCAAGACATGACCTGTTTAAGAATAATAACTAAAAATCAATACCTTGTATTCATCAAACTTGAACCTTGATTGCTTATGGATGATGCAGCAGTAGCCTGATCATCCTCTTGTCCACTGGTTCTAGCAACAGAGTGGTAGGTCCTTGAAGAAACATTCATCTGAGAAGTCTCACCCAGATGAGATGAATCTTGCTCTTGAATCTGGTTGCCATGATAATACCGCCAATAGAGTAGAGGAAGGAGAACAACATAACCACTGGCATAACCAATGATCCATGCAAACAGTGGAGTGCTTGGATGCTCATGCCTTGACAAAGATAAAACAATAATAGATGCGACAATCTGGCTTACAGTGAGGAATAGCTCAATTGATATCCAAAAGCCAGAATTCAATGGGTTCCTGAGTCGACGGGTTTCCTCCTGCCTCATTGATGAAGAATTCCTGGAATTTGATCCATTGGATACACTAGAGAGAGGAACTGATTGCTGAGAAACAGGGAATCCTGCACTTGTGGGGCCTTCTCCATGCTCGGATGTGTCTATGCTACTAAAATATCTATCATGAGGTGAAGTAGATGGTGAAGAATCAATGCTCCCAGGGATGTCAATGACGTGCTGACTACAGTTCAAGTGCCCTGTCTGCTCCATCAACAATAGACAAGTGTAGGATGGACCTTTAAGATATAGTTCTGGTGAGAGAGCATCCATCTAAGTCCACCAACACAACTGATCAGGAAGTAATCATAGAATTGGAGAAAATGTATACCACCTTTAGATACAGCTCCTGAGTGGTGCCAAAATGAATAATACTCCAGTGCCTCAGGTATCTCAACTGTGTGGTATTTTATTTGTATACTTGGAAACAGGGATGCAGCAAAATAAGCAACTTTCATTCTGTGAAGAAGCAATACCTTCAAAGTCAGATTTTCTGACTTCCATGCTAAGAAATTAGAACTGATTTGAGCTGCCAATTCAGGGAAATAAACTGCTTATGCCAATACCAGAAGTCATAAGTTGATAAAATTGAAGTCACTCTACGCGAGAGCCTTAGCTGCTGCTTATAAGTGACTTAGTTAACAGGATACCACCGATAAATTTGAAAATATCCCCCATATGCATTTGTTTTTCTTTTTTTCTTTTCTTTTTTTTTGGGGGGGGGGTCTACATTGGATAATATTTTCGTAATCATTAAATTGAAACTGCCATTTCTTTGCACTAGTCCTACTGTAGCCTCCGTATAATGCAGAGATGTCGGAAACACTTGTCTAGGTTCTATATGTTACCTTAATCACAACAGACGAAAAACATCTACAATATCAATACTATGTATGCCAGCTAATAACAAGAAAACAGCGGACAGAACTGACTCAACTCTTGAGATGAAAAAGATGACGTAAACTGCAATTTACGTCTCTCGTCCATGACAAATTATAAATTTATAATAAAGCTACGGATGGACGACTTGAAAACCTGCGAATCCCAAAAACTGGCAATTCAGTACAGTAAATGACAAAAAGCTGTTTCCCTGGTTTCATCCTTAAAAAATAGAAAAAAAAAAAAATATATATATATATATATATATATATAACCAGCACCGCCTGCAATTGTAAGGATATTTTCCTGACCCCATTTCAAAAAATCAGAACCGAGAGAAGGAATTCACGGATCAATTTAGAATTTGGATTATCTACTCCTCTCGTTTTCTTCAGCTCAATTTCTCTCTACATGAAAATCCAGAAGATTGAATTGAGCATTTTTGTAACATGAATCCAAGCGTTGACTGGCATAAAAAAATCCCCTCATGCTCAGAATATAAATCCCGAAACGACGTGCACAGAAAACAAAAGAAACGTTAAATTGAATTCTACAAACGATCCAACTCAACCCATAAAACCAACAATCGGCCAAAAAAACCGCAAAGCGAACAAAGTCTCCAGCGAAATGAGAAACGCTAAGGACCTTATAACAGATACAAATACAGGTATGCATTGAGAGCTAAGACAAAAGGAGGAAGGACGATACCAAGTAGAAACCAGAGATAAGCCCGACTGAAGCAATAATTCGGCAAGCCGCAGAAAAATACCAAACGGCGCCGTATGCAAGCCGCTGTTGCTCGCTTGTTGAATGGTCGGGCCGTCGGGGGTCTCTGGGTGACGGAGGGAAGAATGCGGTCAGACTGCTTTCAATTTCCCCTCCACAGCTTTGCAGATTTTGGTGAAGCCTGCCTGAAAACGAATTTTGAATTTTCTTTTTCCATATTAGCATTTTCTTTATTCCCTTTGTGCCCTTTTCTCTCGTTGAAGTTTACGCCCCAGGTTGGGCTCCAAATTTGAGCGAGCGCTTTCGCTCACAAAAAAAAAGAGAGAGAGAGAGAGAGAAAGAAAATTGGTGAACAGGATATTATTGAAAGAAAAATTAATCCTAAGAAACAAATACAGTTGAAAGAACAAGGTTAATATTTTATTTATTAAATAATTTAAGTAAATGATCAAAATGCCTCTACGTGTTAATTAATTTTTATCCAAAAAAGGCACAAAATACATTCGTCAGAGCTCTGGTCACTGAAGTTCCTATAGGTAACAGTGCACTTGACGGAGCTCTGATAGGTAGGTCATTAGAAAGTGTCAACACTTATTGATTACATGTAAACATCAAGGATTATATGTAAACACAATAACTAGAAGGTGCAAGGATTTTGACTTAAGATGCAAGGGATTTGGCTTGGTGCAACACTTCTAGCTTGAGATAAAAAGGTTATGACATAGGTGCAAGGTTTCTGGTTTGAAGTGCAAAGCTTTTGGCTTAGGGTGCAAAGGCTTTTAGCTTGGGGTGAAAGGTTTCTGATTTGAGTGCAAATGATCTAGCTTAGGATGCAAGGGATCTGGCTTAAGATGCAATTGTTCTAACTTAGGGTACAAAGCTTCTAACATAAATAATTACATGTAATATCTGCTGGATTACATGTAAATCAACTATACAGAAAACACACTCCTGTTAATCCTCCAAAATTACATGAAAATGACTAAGGATTGCATGTAAATCAATATGAAAAAAATTTACGAGCATTCTTAAGGAATAATTTACATGTAATCTCTAGCGAATTACATGTAAATCAATCACACAGAGAGGATTCCTTTATTAGTGCCTCAAATTTACATGTAAACTACTATTAATTACTTGTAACTTGATATAGGGAAAAATTCGTTAGCATGCCTGAGGAAAAATTTACATATAATCTCCAGCAGATTACATATAAATCAATCACACAAAAACGATGCCTTTATTAGTACCTTGGATTTACATGTAAACTACCATTGATTACATGTAAATCAATATGGGAAAAAATTCACGAGCATGCCTGAGGAATAATTTACATGTAATTTTAAAGGATTACATGTGAATCGAACACACAAAGAGTACACCCCTATCAATTCTCCAAAATTACATGAAAATGACTATGAATTATATGTAAATCAATATGTGAAAAAACTCATGAGTATGACTAAGAAATGATTTACATGTAATATCTAGCGACTTACATGTAAATCAAACACATAGAAAGCATATCACTGTCAGTGCCCTTAAATTACATGAAAATGACTAAACCAAAAGCTTTGCACCCTAAACCAAATCTCTTGCACCCAAGTCATACCCCTTATACCCTAAGCTATAACACATGCACCTCAAGTCAGAAACCTTGTACCCAAGCCATACCTTATGCGCCCAAGCCAAAACCCTTGTACTTTAAGCTAAAATCCTTGCACCCTTTGATTTTAGTACCCTGAATCAAAAAATATATTATGGGGAGTAACAATACCATCATGTCCATGTTAAACTACATCATATCCTATATAAAAAATAAATAAGAGAACACTCACAATAGATTCCCTCTTTTTTAAGTATTATACATTGTATAGCAAGCCACATTAACTTGTAAAAGATGTGGATTCAATAATGTAACATTAAGAATGTGAAATAACATTAAAATGTGAAAAGCGAGAATGAACAATAATAATTTTAATTAAAGAATATTAATTCCATTATGTTTGGCTTATCTTTTTGTCAAGTACGATCAAAATGATAAATAAAGACTCTAAAGTGCTTCATATCAAAAAAATATACCATAGGGCTTAAAAATAACATTATACCCATGTTAAACTACATCTTATCCTATACAAAGAAAAAAACAAATAAGGGAGATAGTCATAAGTATACTTCAAAGTACAATCACAATTATATTCAATCTATCAGGAAAATCTCTTAATCAGCATTTCCTTGTAGTTTACTTAAGTTATGATATGCGTAAGTTGAATTTTCCAAAGCTTCTTAACCTGAACTTGTTTTTTCTCATCTTCATATAAAACCTTATGCTTCAGTGCGTCTAAAATATTATGCTTGAAATAAAAATTAGTGGCCATCACAAATGGGTCATTCATGCCGTACTACATTTAGGTATAAGATGTTTATTCAAAATGACATGGGTTTAGTAATCAGGGTACTTCTACAAGGGTGCAGCCCTTCTTCCAGCAATATACTCTCTATAATAAAAAGGTAAAATGAATATCAACACAAATGATGCTATAAAGTAATGTAATATCAAACACTGTAATAAAAACATACTTAACATTTAAGGAGGGAAATAAAGAAAAATTGCTCATTACATCATCTTACTTAGATTAAACAAAAGATAAAGATGTTGAAAATTGCTTCTGTTGCATTCCTTTATAGGTCTTTAGGACCTCTAAATTTTCATATTCAAGCACTTTATTTTGAAGCATATATTATAAGAAAACATCTCATTTTCACTAGTTGGCCCTACATCAATCCATTACAACCATTATTTAAATATAACATGTAAGGAGTAAGGCAAATAAAGGCATCATCTTGAATATCATTTGAATGACAATTTTCATTTTCATAAGAAAAGAAATTAGATCATTATCAGTCAAGATTAAAAAAAACATCAATCAATGCAAATGTTTACATATGCTTTCTCTCTCCTTTAATTTATGAAAATTAAGACTAGACCACCAACTAACTTCAACATATGAACTATCGAGCTGAAATTGGCAGACTAAGAAGTAGATATCACTTTGTGTATAAGATTAGAAATCATTTACCCAAGAGAGACATAAAATGGGAAAATGAATACTAAAGGAAAATAATAGATAGTCAAAACTCTATCAATTGCACTATGATAATAGCTAACCAAATATAAGGTGCTGGAGTAATAGAACAAGACTAGAAGCAAAAAGTGTCAAATGGCATTATAGACCTCTGGAAAGAGATAAAGAGCTTGAAGTTTCACCATATTAGTATTGTAAGAAACTTTTGTCTTGTAAGCTTCAAAGGAGGATAAACTCTTAGCTTTTCTAATCGTGGCACATTCTTTTGCACATGCAATGTCATTTAAACATAAATCAGTAAATATTCACATATTGCCAAAAGAGGTATAGAAAGTCCCATGAGCTGAAGAGGCCAAAGAAAACAAGGAGCGAGAGCGGGTGGGAGATGAGAGAGATAGTTAATACGAGGGCAAGTATGGTTATGTAGTTGACGCGAAAGTAAGAGAAGTTCTTGTAGCTTTGAGAATATGCTTCTAAAAGAGAATCTGGTCAGGACTTATAGTTTTATCGATGAGCTTTAACCAAAAGCAGTGCTAGGAGAATCCTTAGCAGACAGAAGAGGAGAGGCATGCAATGAAGGATCGAGAGGAAAGCATAGCAATTGGAGGTTGAGATTAAGAAGCTGTGGTGTTGCTATTGGATTGGGGTTGGATATCGAAAGTGGCGGTAGAGAAGCAATGGGTAGCACATGAATCTCCAACCACACACAAAGTTATGCTACTACAAGAGAGCGAATGGCAAAGGGGAAATGCGGATTTAGAGAGGAATTTTTTTCTTTAAACAATGCAATATGGGCTCAAGAGTCATTAACAGGGATGGAAGGAAAATGGCAAAGCAAGGAAGACGATGGCTTAGAAGAGCAGTGTTATTGAAAATCGTCTCCGACTTACTAGAACATTTTTTCCTAATAACAAATGGCATCTTCATCCATTACCTTCATACTTTTCTAAATAAAATAATAAGATTGGTTCTTCAATGTACTTTGGTCTTTAGGCATAATTTAGCTTATAACCTGGTTCTTTTCACTAATTTTTTCTAAAAAATAATTATAATTAATTTATATATATTCTAATTTTTTAAAAAAGTATCTTAAAGTTTTCAAATTACTTCATACATTCAAAAATGTAAGATATTTTTTTTGAATTAAGATATTCACAAATATAAAAACTTTTAAGTTTTTCAAAGTACAATTAATGATATTTTTTGAAAAATATCCTTCATTAAGGAATTTAATTAATTAATGAATTTTTTTAATTGAGGCACCATATTAAATAAAGTTAAACATGTAAATTGTTTATAATTTTAAAAATAATTAACTAATTCATTGATAATATAATTAAGTTAAAAATATTTATAATATTAAATAGAGGGTGTATGTTATTTTCCCTCATATTCTTGCTTCTTGTTATTTCACAAAAATTAAAAAGAGATTGTTAAATTATTGTTGTTGTTTAAGAAGAAGATTCAATTTAGCCTTGTTTTTTGGGCCAAAATTTTAGTCTTGTTAAATGCAAGGAAAATTACTTTAAAATTCTCAACAACACAATTAAATATTATAAGATTTATTGAAAATTGAACAAAGGAAATTAATAACTAAATGTGCTGTCATTTTCTTTATTAAGTTATCAATATACCTTGTGTATTTAAATGTATTGTGTGGGGCTTATATATACTTCTCTCTTAAATGTATCATCTTTAAAATGTTTTTCTTTTTCAAATAATTTGTTACTCTCTATTTATTAAAAAATATCAAAAGCTAAAATTACAATAAAATAATTAAGGCATCATTTGGTTTATCTACTTTTCACATCCCAACAGTGCTTTTCTACTTTTGGGATGTGAAAAGTTATTTGGTATCATTTTATTAGATTAAATGTGCTTTCAGAAAGCACTTCCTAACAAAGTTCAAATGTGAAAAATAGAAAGCTGCATTTTGTAGCTTTTGAAAAATGAAATTGAAAAGTGAGGTATTATTTAACTATATTACTCTAAGTTTAATTTCTTATACTTTTATTTAAAAAATATTTAATTAATTATAAATATAATTATCATTTCAATAATAATAATTATTAGATATCAAGTTTTGATCATTATAAACTATAAATTGAATAATTAATCATATTAATTTCTAGCATTAATGTATAATAAAAATTATAAATCTTTATCATATTTTTAAAATTATAAATTAAAAAAGTATAAATAATTAGAG